AGGGATCCTATCTCCAAAATAACCAGACCAAAACGGACTCAAGAGGTAGAGCACCTGCTTTACAAATGTGAAGCCCTGAGTTCGAACTCAACTCCGACAAAAAAAAAAAAAAAGAGAGAGAGAGAGAAAAGAAAAAGCCAAAGCCCGGGATGGATTTGGCGAGCAATCAAAGGAAATCCAGGTAGAGTTAAAGCCCTTGTCTTCCACTGTTGCATTGCTTATCTGTCTCAGCTTTCCCACTAATGAAAACCCTTAAGGGCAAGGACCTGTCTAACCTAAGTGTGGTTTCCCATCCTGCTCTGCACATGCTTTTCAACTTGTAGCGTTTCCATAGGATTTCCTTGAATGAATGAAAGAAACAATAAATGAGTCAATACACAGGTATCTTAGCAGACTAGTGGGGTAGGAAAAAAGCTGGAGGAAAGAAATAGAAAATGTAGTGATTGCTAATGATAGGGTGAAATCTTTAGATTCTGGTTTTGCTACCAATGAAACATTCAAAAGGGGCTGGAGGTATGACTCAAGTGGCAGAACACGTGCCTAGGAAGCACGAGGGCCAGAGTTCAAACTCCAGAACTGCCCCCCCAACCCCCAAAAAAGGAAAGCCCTCGAAAGTGATACCAGATGTGCAGGAACTTCTGTGTCAGCAGCAGTAGAAATGACACTAAGACATAAAAGTGTGAACTTTATAGGCCAAATTTAATTGGGCAGAGAAGGATGTGGAAGTTGGGAGCTGGGGAAATGGGAGCAGCACTGAGGAGAGAAATCAGGGTCCCCAAGCAAAGGATAAGGCAAGGTTTTTACTCTTGTGTGGGGTTTATAGAGGTGGGTCAGGGTCTGTTAATTTTTCAGTAGCCGTGGCCATGGTCTCAAAAGATGTTTTCTCCTTGTAAACATCCTGGCCTTGAGGAGTCAGAGGTCAGCTTATCCAGGAGCTGTTGTTCCTCCCATCCTGCTTAAACATCCTGGCCTTGTGATAAGGATGGCCCCTGTAGCTGCTAAGAGAACACACATTTTTGCTTTTAATGAGTTCTAGGTTTAGAAGGCCCGGTTTTGTTTGTGGGATCCTCAGGAGTCTCACTTCTCATCTAGTTTGTTTTTGGAAAGGTTATGGCAAAGGCATCCTGACTTTATTAGTGTACCTGGGTTTTAAGGACCATCAGATTGCTTGGGGGAGTAAGGAGATGGACAAGACAATGCACCATGCCTTTTATTTTTAACTAATTAAAATATATTTTGAGACAGGGTTTTTAGCCCAGGCTAGCCTTGAACTCATGATCTTCCTGCCTGTTGCTCACAAGTGCTGGGATTATAGATATGCGTCACTATGCTCAGCTGCCTTTTCATGGGTAGCAGGTTATGAGTTAAAGCCCCAGAAGTACATCTGCCCTTAGTCCCTATCTATCTCAAAAGGAGAATACTTTTAACCAAAGTTCTGGGAAAGCTGGGAATTAGCAGATTATGATGACTTCCTTTGTTTTTTGTGTTTTTTTTAATGCTCTGGATACTTACTGCCCAAGGAACAAACTCATTCTGTTGTGATTCTCCTATAACCAGTTGATTTCCTTTGCCCCAGATGCCTTCAAAGGAAGCTCCATCACCAGAGTAAACAGAACACAGAGCAAGCACGCTCTCAGACAATCTAAAGCTACCTGCCCAATGGGCAGGCCAACTGGCTGCTCCAAACACAGTCTGCTACCTGAATTTGTCACTGGCATTGGAGATGCTCTGTTGATCTGACAACATAAGCTCTGGGAAATGAACCCAGAAGATTGAGAGACAGGAATGGCTGAGTTAGCATGGATGGGATAGGCAGGAAAACCCAAAGGATGATCCAAAGCAGGCTGGCCAGACAATAAAGGGGCCAGGGTAGTCCAGAAGGACCACTCAGGATATAACATGCAAACACATCCCCTGCCCTAAGCTTGTTCTCTGTGGCAGAGGCTCTTATAGTTGGCTAGACACTGTGAGGGGTGGCTACAGGGGATCAGGGACTCTTACTCATATTTGCACAGAGGTGCCACATCTGTGTATAAAAGTACACACAGGAATTCCGCTCCTGGACATTTATGATACAGATGTAGCTTCGTGTGTATGTAAAGAAGTATACACAAGGAGGCTCACTTAGAGCTTGCTGGTAGCAGCCAAAGATGGTCACTTCGTGAATATCCATTCATGGGGCCTGTGAGAGGCTCGTGTATCCGTATGTAGCCATTAAGAAGACTGAGGCAGCTCTCCCTGTGCTGGCATGAGACAGTCCCCAAAGTATACTGTTGATTCTGTGTGTGTTAGGGAAGAGCAAGTGTAGAGAGGGTGTATAGGATGCTACTGTGTCTATGAAGGGCAGTTTCAGGGGTCATGGGTACCTACATGATGGCATATGCCTAGCCCCAGTCTACTTTTGGAGGGATGCACCAGAAACGGATCATACTTTTGCTTTTAGAAAAAGAACTGGAGGTCGAGGTAGGAAGGAGACTCTTTGTTGTATACTCTTCCGTGCTTTTAGAATTTTTTAACTATGTGCAAGCATGACCTATTTTTTAAAAATCTGTCTTTTACGTAATAAGTAAAAGAGCTGCAGTGCGACAGTTGCCCTTGGGATTGTCTGTGTATCTTGTGCTGGTGCCTGAGCTGGCCAGATTCATTTGCTTTCCCCTCAGGGCTGGCAAATACTTGTTTTCAAAACAAAAGTTCCTTCATTATTAATCACCAGAGTGTTCCACTGTGGGAGAACCGTGCTCCTGTTCTTTCAGCCCTGCTCTTTTCTGGCTGTGAAACATTAAACAGTCTTGCCATGAAAGTGTTCTCCCTCCACCCCGCAACTGCTGAGGGAACATTCAGGAGGATCCTGTGGAAGCAGAAAGCAGAGGGGCCCAAGACCTGGATGTGGAAAAAATGAGTAGGTAGAGCTGTCATTTGGTGGGGGGTGTGGAATGTCTGTTGAGTGTTAAACAGCCCTGAGAGTGCTTGTTAGAAATTGCTTTTTAAAACACTTTCAGGCTGGAAGCATGGCTCAAGTGGTAGAGTACCTGCCTAGCAAGCACAAAGCCCTGAGTTCAAACCCCAGTACTTCCCTGCCCCCCCTCCCCCCAAAAAATCAGCTCCCTTATCTAGGGAGGATGCCTGGGAAGAATTTATTTTCTGATCCTCCAGAGTGGCACAGCTGACCTTCTCTCATAGCATCATGTTTTAAGATACCTGGGATTTGTTTTAAACAGCTGTGGTTAGACATGAAGGTCTGGAAAAGACTGTCACAAAGGAAGAAATTTGTTATACTCCTAGATTCCTGGAAACAGTAAGCACAGCTCTCTACACCAGGCAGGGCCACACCAGGAAGCACCAGCATAGATCAGGAGGCAGAGGGAACAAACGGGGTCGAGTCTTTGTAATTTGCACAGGAAGGAATCAGTGAGGCGGGGTAGGCAGGCTCAGGGTTGGCTAGTTCAAATAATTTGAAAGGGTTCTGGGATATAGGGCTGATCACGGCTGTCTGGTAACTGGTCCTAGTGCTACTGGGGCAAGTGGATGTGATCTGGAGCGTGAGGTCCCAGTGGTAGAGTCAATGACTAGAATATGGGCTCCAGATTGGTTGCTTACCTATGGAAGGTGTGTTTGCAAGTGATATCTTTGCTGTCTTTAGGAGTTAGCTCACCCTGACATGGGCAGTTTGTCCAAATCTAGCAAGGACCCATATGTCAAACCACTAGAATATGGTACATAAAAAAATCCTGTTAATATACCTCAGACTGTGAACTCTGGTTGCATGGGGTTGTCCACAGTACCAGCTATCTGGCTGAGTTGGTGAATGGAGTTAAAATCCAGACCAAGCTCTACCTGCCCAGCCATGTGCCCATAGAACTGCATCCAGTTGCAGGGGCTAATATGTTTTTAATATAGTCAAAGATATTATATAGACTAGCAGAAACCCACTACAGCACGTCTCAGGTTGCTATTCTGTTATTTGTGATACTTTATCAGTCTCTGTTTCTCTGACTGGACTTCTAGTTTCAAGGATCCCAGAGTCTTTGCGCTTCTGGAAGCTCCAAAAAGGCAGGGATCAGGTCTTCTTTGCTCACTCTTGTCTCCCTAGTGCCTGGCACGGCAGATGCGTGGAAGTGTTGGTGGAACAAACGAATGGGCTCAAGGGTATGCAGGACCTCAAACTCCAAAACTGTGTTGCTTGCACCCCAAGCTCTCCTTTCTTTTGACACCAAAAAGATCAATATCTGTTTGCCTGCCATCAACTTGAGTGGGGTCAGTAGTATTCTCCAGTTGTCAAGAGTTGGGCTCCTGTCCCTGCCTCTGTTGGAGTCAAGAAGGGAGACTTACTGGGTGCTGGTGGCTCACACCTGTAATCCTAGCTAGTTGGGAGGCTGAGATCAGGAGGATTGAGATTCAAGGCCAGTCTGGGCAAATAGTCCACAAGACCCCATCTCCAAAATAATCAGAGCAAAATGGACTAGAGGTGTGGCTCAGGAGGTAGACTGCCAGCTTTGCAAGTATGAAGTTCTGAGTTCAAACCCCAGTCCCACCAAAAGGGGGGGGGCAGGGAGAAGCTTTAATTCTCATTCTGGATGGAAACAGTAAGCTCCACCCTGCTGTGATTCCCCTGGTGTATATACCTTCCTGGCCATGACTGAAGGGTGAATGACTGAGTGCATTGTCTCAGGCCTGGTCCTCTGAGCCTATGGGCTGCAGCTGGAGCTACACACCAATCTCAATGAGTATAGCCTCACAGAAGTGCTAGCTGCTGCCAGGCAGGACCCCAGGGTGGTTGCTAGAGTGACCTGTGTTCCTGGTTTACTTGGGCCAAAGAAGAAAACAGGGACCGGCCTCCAGAGAGAGGCCTTGTTGTGCTGTGCGTGCATGTGTGCTTTCCATAGTAGGAGGAGGATGGGGAATCCTGGACAAGTGTCCCTGCTAACCCATGGGCTCATCCAGCCCGGCTTAGGGTTGTGCTGTGAGAACCTAACGGAACATGATTGTTCTTATCTCTCCAGGTTTCCATTTTATTATGAACTAAAAATAGCATTTGTGGCCTGGCTGCTGTCTCCCTACACAAAAGGATCCAGCCTCTTGTACAGGAAGTTTGTACATCCCACACTGTCTTCAAAAGAAAAGGTAATTTATCTTGCTTCCAGCAAGTGAAAGATAAAAATTGGTAAATAAAAAAGGTAGATTTCATTACATAGGATCCTTCACTTGGTTCTTATTTACCCCAGTCATTCCCTCTAATCTATTTTAAAAAATTGTTACTGTGAGGTGGGCACTGGTGGCTCAAGTATGTAATCCTAGCTACTTGGGAGGATGAGATCGGGAGGATAATGGTTTGAGGCCAGCCAGAGCCAAAAGTTCACAAGACCCTATCTTAACCAATAGCTGTATTGTGGTGTGAGATTGTCATCCTGAGTGGGAGGCTGAGATGTTCCAGGCCAGTCCAGGCCAAAACAGTTTGAGAGACTCCATCTCCAAAAATAACCAGAAAAAAAGTGGCTGGTGGAGTGGCTCAAGTGGTACAGTGCCTGCCTTACAAGCATGAGGCCCTGGGGTTTTGTAGCAAACTCCAATAATACCAAAAAAAAAAAAAGTTATTGTAACCCTTTCTTTTAAAATTTTTTTATTTTTATCAAATTGTACATATCTGGGCTGGAGGTGTGGCTCAAATGATAGAGTGCTTATCCAGCAAGAGCAAGGCCCAGAGTTCAAACCCCAGTACTGCCCAAAATAAACAAACAAACAAATAAATAAATAAATAAATTACTGTGTTTTAAAAAAAAATTGTACATCTCTATGGGGTGCAAGATGATAATTTAACACACGCATTTAATTTGTAATGGTCAAAGTTGCTGGCATTTCTATCTCCTTACACAAATTTTTTGTATTTTTAGAGTTTTTTTCTTTGGTGATACTGGGGTTTAAATTCACGGCGTTGCACTTGCTATGCAGGCACTCTGTCACTTGAGCCACACCCCCAGCCCTTTTTACTTATTTTTCAGATAGGGTCTTGTGCTTTTTGCCCAGGTTGGCCTGAGTCCTCAATTCTCACATCTGTGAGTAGTGGGGATTTTAGGCATATATCTCGCCACATCCTCCTGCTTCTTGAGTTTTTGATTAATACCTAATTACGTGTACATACCTATGAGGTACAATGTAATATATGTGTATGATGTGTGCTGATGAAATCAGGGTAGTTAACACTTCTATCTCCTATTAACAAGTTAGAACCTCCAAGTTCTTCTCTTCTGTTCATAAAACATGTAAAAGTTATTGTAAACTGTGGTCACTGTTCTACTGAGCTGTAGAACACTACCAAAAGATTTTTAGATGTGAGAAATGAATTTGGTAAAGTTTCAGGATACAAAGTCAACATATAAAAATCAGTGCAATTTTTTTTTTTGGCTGGGAACCAAACCAGGGCCTCATGTATATTAGGCAAGCAGTCTACCACTGAACTGCACTCCCAATTTCAGTAGCATTTAATTAAATAGTTTTTTTGCAGCACTGGGGTTTGAACTCAGAGCCTCACACTTTGCTAGGCCAGTGCTCTACCACTTGAGCCACTCTGTCAGCCTTTTTTTGTCATGGATTTTTTTCAAGATAGGGTCTGGAGAACTATTTGCTGTGCTGGCTTTGAACCCTGATCCTCCTGATCTCTGCCTCCTGAACGACTAGGATTGCAGGCCTGAGCCGCCGTGCCCCAACTTCAGGAGCATTTTAATTACAGCAGTAGTGATATCGCTAATGAAATTTATGAAAATAATGTCTTTTTTAAGTGTATTTTGGACAAGTTTTAAAAGGTGGTGAAATTCTGTAGAAGATATTATTTGTCATTGGCCTGGAGAGGTAGAGTACCTGCTTAGTAAGCATGAGGCCCTGAGTTCAAGTCCAGTACCACCACGAAAAATGATGTTATTTATCATTATGAGTTGTAAAACATTTCCATAAATAAAAAACAAAAATTTACTCAGAATTCAACTCCCCAAACTGAACTTCCTTCCTTTTATCAAGCTTAGCCCCTATCCTCTTACAGATATAACTTTTGCATATACTATTTACAATTTTTTGCAGATTCATTTTGAAAATAGTTTAAAAATTAACATAGGCCAGCACAGTGGTACACACCTGCAGTCTCAGCTACTTGGGAAGCTATGGAAATAGGACCCATTGAGTCTAGAAGTTCAAAGTCAGCCTGGGAAACACAGTGAGACCCCATCTCAAAAATAAACAAAAAACTTAACATAAACTCATTGTATTCTGTCATCTTAAACATCTTTGCATATAACCCACATTTCATATTCATAATGATCCATGATGACGGAACTATTTCCCTACCGCTATATATTTTAGATTATCTTTTCCTATCATAGACAATACTGTGAACACCACCATATATGGAGTTTAGTTCTTTCTTTCCCAAAGTGGGATTATTGAGTCAAAAGAGTCCAGCATTGAATAATTCTTTATTTATATTATTTTCTAACCTGATGGTGTAGTAGAAATCTTTGAAGTAAAATAGGAGCCCTGTAAGGTAGCTCCTTATTGGTATATTAATTTCCATAGGGTTTTTGTGTGTGTGTGTGTGTATGTGGGGGTGGAGGACTGGGGTTTAAACTCTGGGCTTTGTGCTTGTAAAGCAGGTGCTCTACCACTTGAACCACACCTCCAGCCCATTTTTCTCTGGTTAATTTGGAGATGGGGGGGTCTCATGAACTATTTACCCGGGTTGTCCTCAAACCTTGATCCTCCTGATCTCAGCCTCCCAAGTGCTAGGATTACAGGCATGAGCCATTGGCACCCAGCTATTTCTACTTTCTGAAAGTTGAATGCATAGGACTTCCTCTAGGGGAAGGCTTTGGGGAACATAGCAGTTGGATGAACAGGCTGCTGTAAACATGTCTGAAAATCCCTTTAGGAGCTAGGACCCCAGCTCTTCCTGTCTTAGAAACTTGGAGGTAGAGGAATGGATCTCCGTATTGACCTGGTTGTCAAGTCCTAGTCTTCCTCCATTTCCCCAAATACTGGGCCTCCTCTGAAGTTGTCAGTGTCATTGCCATTGAAGGGAGCTGCCAGGAATCACTTCCAGAGTCAGTCCGGTCACAGCTGCTGTGATTTCCTGGGGAGGCTATGAACACTGAATCCAGCAAGGCTGGGATGAGGGATGCTGATCCCTCCTGTATACCTCAAAGCAAGGGAACTAGTACTAATAAGATGAACTTTGAACAAGCAGAACATCTCACACAATGGTTGGTTTCAATTAGTTTTGACATTCTCACTTTCCTTGTCTTCGAGAGGTGGGGCACTTACAGTTCTAAAATTTTGTTATTCTACACTTATGTAAGTCTATAACCATATATTACCCTGTGTGTATATCAATGGGATATTGTCACACTGAGCTCTGAAATTGTCTAACTGAGCTCTGAAATCAGCTACTGTGGCTACACAATAGACATTTACCTGTTTGTTTGTTTTGGTTTTTTTATGTGGCCCTGGGGTTTGAACTCAGGGCTTCACGCTTCCTACATAGGCACTCTACCATTCTGCCAGCCCCTAGACATTTCCTTAAAGCAATGATAACTGCAAAATAACCTAAAAAAGAAATTAAACAAGCAGGATAAACCAAAGTTCATCCAAATTTGAACTAAACCAAGATTTTACTTGGCTATAGTCTCAGAAGGAGACTTCAGTCCTGTTTTCTACCTTACTTTTACCTTGTTTACGACACCAGATGATTTTAATTTTTTTATTTCATGATCTGTAAAATGATCCATTTCTTTCTGCATCCAGTCCCTCCCATCAATATATACACGTGGCAATATATGGATATAGATTTACATAAGTGTAGAATAACAAAGTTTTAGAACTGTAAGGGCCCCACCTCTTGAAGACAAGGAAGGTGACAATGTCTTTCACTGACTGAAACCAACCATTGTGTGAGATGCTCTGCTGGAATTACCTCAGTTAATCCTCACCACACACTGCAAAGTAGTTACTATGTCTTCATTTTCTAGAAGACAAAATTGTGTAGAGAGGCCAACTATGGAACTGGGCCTGGTGGTAAACACCTCAACCCTTGGGAGTTGGAGGTAGGCGGATCTGAGTTCAAGGCATGAGCTACATAGTGAGATGCTATCTCAAAAAGAAAAAGCAGCAGAAAAGGCAAATGCAAAGAAAGAGGCCAAGTGTGCCAAGCCACAGAGCAGAGCTTTAACGTTCTCAGTCATTAGCATCGTCTCGCCCTGGTTCTTTTGGTGTCTTATGGAGTGGCTGTGCATAGAGTGGCAGGGTTGTCCAAGGGGCTTTAGAGACAATCCCAGGCCTTCCTGGTCAGTCAATTGCTGTTTTTTGCAAACTTCCCATTTGCAGTATCTCTTCTGTCTATCCACATGTACTCCAGGTGTCCATGATGTTTCAGAACTAGCACTCAGGACAGGGGAAAGAACACAGTTGCATTTGAACATGCCATCTCAGCGTGTGCCTCCACCCTTCCTTTGACAGGAAATTGATGATTGCCTGGTTCAAGCAAAAGATCGAAGTTATGATGCCCTTGTACACTTCGGGAAGCGAGGCTTGAACGTGGCAGCCACTGCGGCCGTGATGGCTGCCTCCAAGGTACTGTGCCAGGCCCCAACCACCACAGTCCCCCCGGTCCTCCCTGCCTGACAGCCGTGCAGCTCACCCAGGATTAGCTAAGGACCAATCAGTGGTTCCTCATCTTTTTAGGGTTCCCTTTGAAAAACTGATGGAAAAAGTGGTGAATCTTACTCCCCCTCTTTCACACATACTCACATGTATACACATATCAAGTGGTCCCCAGAGTCCAGGAAGCTCTATGTGGGGCCCAGGCTAACCTGTCTGGAGCTGAGGCCTGAGAAGTAGAGAGGGAAGGGGAGAGACAGAGAGATGCCTCTGCAGTTTCCCAGGGTGTGTTGGGAGAGCCACCTAAACTTGAAATAGATAGAGAGACCATGTGAGTGAGCAGGTAGACTTCATCCTCGTGTGGCTTAGCAGCTTCATGAGAAGAGATCTGGGTCCCAGAGTGAGCTGAGTTGTTCAAATGAAGAGCAGTAGTAAATGAAATGGAGAAAGGAAGTTTGAAATAAAACCATCTTATAGACTATAGTGATAAAATCATTACTTTTCTTTTCCATCCAGCCTTTTTAAAAAGACCGCTGTTCTGTCCTAGCTCCTTCTCACATCACACCCTGTCATTGTGTCAATTCCTCATTTATGTCCTCAGACCTGAACAATTAAATTGGTCAATCATTTCCTCTTAAATTCAGCACATGGCCCTAGTGTTCCCTGGTGACAGCCTCTTCCCTGGAATCTAGTCGTGGGGTAGAGGTCTACAGTAGGCAGTTACACTGGTATTTGGGAAGACACAATGGTTGGGAGGTGAGTTCTATTAGCAAAGGGAGGTTATAAGTCCTGGATGGTGGTGCCATGGTTTGGGGACAGAAGTGGTAGAGCTGTGGAAGGGTTTGAACACATAGTTTCTTTTTTGGTGGGATTGGGGTTTGATGTGGAAGGGTTTGAGAGGACAGTTGACACCAATCTTGGTCCTCCATGGGCTTTGAGTGGATGGCAGGATGGAGCATGCTGAGAGCCCACTGGGTCAGGGCACCCAGGAGGGTTTCTTGTGTCCTGAACCAGGGAGAAACACATTGGGAGCTTTCTCCAAGAGATCTTGGAGGACTCGGTGCACAGGACAGAATGATCATTTCAAAAGCACCCTTTGCCTGAAGTCAAGGAGTGCTACAGTCGGAGGATGGGAGAGAGGGGAAGAGAACCAAAAGGAACAAAAAGTTCAAAGGTCCTTGTCAAAGACCAGCTCCTTCTGTCCCACAGAACTGTGGGGAAGTGTCTGTGGTTTCGTATAGCAATACTCGCCTTGGTGTAATAGATGCTGCCATAGTGATGGAGCCCAGGGAGTATCTCTGGAAAGGAAACTTCACTTGGTATCCTGAGGAGATCTAGCAGGGTTTACAAACAGCAGGAAATCACAAGAGCCTCCCACTTATGATGCAGCCATCTTATGTTCTTATTGGTAAGCTGAGAGAAGAGAACAGATAATAAATTCTAAATTCATCCGGGCAGCCTTGCAACACAAAGCTATAGAAAGCCTGTCTCTACCCAGTTTCTCTGCCCCTGAAGGCTACAGGAAGACAGTATTGCTCTTTCCCAGTTCAGCCAGAGAGCCTAAACGTGTATATCTGTCAGAGTAACTCAATACAGGTCACCTGGCTACTCAGCTGCACGAATGGGACAGGGTTATCCTTTTCCAGGTCTGCTTTCAGCTAGGACTTCAGGAGCCCAATCACCGCCTGCCCCCTGACCACCCGGGAAGCCCAATGGGCCCAAGAGTTCTCCAGCCAGGCACCTTATAAGAGCTAAAACCTAAAGGAAGCTCTGTCCCGAAACTTGCCTCAGGAAATAACTGTTCATTTAGTTCAACTAAAGTATCGAGGGACATCTTCTTTGTGTTGAATTTGGTTGGAGAATTTTGTTGGGGAAATTATCCTGCTTTATGGGAGCTTTGCTTTTTCTTCCTAAATATAAATATCTGGAGAGGGGAAACACATGTCTTTCAAAAATTATGCCCTCTATTTTTGAAACAGATGTGCACTTTAAAAAAAAAAAGTAGTAAAATCCAAAAGTCCAGTCAGACTGGAATGTGTATCAGTGGTTTCCATAGCAACAGTGGATAGCACCAGGCTGGGTCAGAAGATAACTCACCAGCGGTCCAAATCTGGCTTTCATGCCCCACTACATGGGAAGATTTTTTTTTTTTATTTTTAATAAGAATCTCAGATGTACTGAATCAGAATCTCAGGCAGTAGGCCCATGAACCTCTGTTTTTAACAAGTACTCCAGGTGATTTTTATAAACAGCCCGCTCTGTACAGGTCACTGCCTGAGGCCCCATACAGCACCAAGAGCACAGGTGATTAGGTTAAGTCAGTTGATTTCTGTACCTATTCTGGGCTGCAGATTCAGCTCCTTAGACCATTAACTTTGAGAATGAGAGGAGAGCAGAGAGAGAGAGTTTTTCCCCAAAACTTAATGCCAATTGAGAACTACATTCACATGACACTTAACAATGGAAGTAAGTCCTGAGAAATTCATTGTTAGGTGATTTCAGTGTCTACTTATGCAAACCCGGATGGTACAGCCTACTACACCTCTAGGCCAGATGACATATCTCAACATAAATGTGGATGGAAACACTATATGGCACGTGACTACACTATGGCAGGGCTACAGGCTCTTCCTCCAGGAATCAGTGCTTCCTCCCTTTCTGCTCTTTTGTCCACCCCTTGATGGCTCCCAGGAGGATACTAGGGAGCTCACATGGAAGAATGAAAGATCTTTTGACCACACTAATAGTTAATACTTTTTTAAAAATAATATTGAACCTTGAGCCAGTTCCCTAATAAAATAATTGTAGGGATTTTTTTTGCATCATCATAAAGTATGAAAAAACTGTAAACCACATCATTCCACAAATGTAAATTCTTATTAATGCTAATATTGTATCTTAGAACTGGAAAAATTAAAACAAAAAAATTAGACATGTGAAATTACTCCCCAGGACAATTTGCCTTTGTCCCACTCACTCCCACCTTTACCCTAAGGTCTCCATCCCTGTCCCAAGGAAGTGATGTACCTTCTAAGTATCCCTGGTTGCTTGGCTCCTACATATTTTCTGTTTTCTAGCCTTTGATTCTAACCCAGAGGGAAAACTGAACACCAGGTCTTTTTAACACTGAATTGAAAATTAATCTTTCTCTTTTTCTCTCTCTCTCTCTCTCTCTCTCTTAATAATGCTCTCAAAATTCATTTGTTCAGAAAAATGCATTCACATGAGAGGGAGAGCTGAGAAAGAAGTAACTAAACAAAAATTTAAAACCTTGGGGTCTCTAGGCCACCTTGCTCCCCTTAAAACTCAAACCCTGTACCAGGTCTCTTCCACCTGTTCATTCCCAGACTGGTAAAGCGACCTTGCTTTTGACTGGTACCATAATTTTAAAAAGAATGTTGGTTTTGTTCCCCTGCACTAGTTAGTAAAGTCACTTCTTGACCACCCTCAATAAAACCTGCATTCTGCCTGTGAATCGGGGGGTCTTCCTCCACACGTGGTTTCACCAAGAATTCCATATTTCCCTAGTGGGTTGTTAGCTTGTTAGCTTCTTAGATGGGATCATGGCTCAAGAAGTACAGTGCTTGCCGAGCGTGCTCGGGGCCCTGGGCTCAATCCTCAGTACTAAAAAACAAAAAACAAACCTTTATTTTTAGAATCAGAAACTCATTCTAAGAAGTGCATAAGTGCAGTGATTTGGGGCTTCTGACTGGGGTCAGTTGCCTTGCCTTTTTTTGTTTGTTTTAGAAAAAAATAAAACAAAACAAACTACTTGTTTGCAGTTAATCAGAGGGTAGACATTGATTTTTTTTCCCCTCATAAAACTGCCCTATATAGCCATGCTTGGGAAGTACTTACAAGGAGGAAAAGAGGGCTATCTATCTCCTCCCTTTGTATCCATTTTCTGGCTTCTGTCCCTCATGTCTGCTGAATCTATGGGCTGAAGACTCCCAGAAGTCCTTATGTGTCCCTTCACCCCTCAGAGGAACACTTCCTGGCTGCTGTATTGGCTTGTTTCATCCCAGGACTGTGGGACAATATAATATTTAGAATTCACTGCATCAACCAGTTTTAAACACCAGGCTTATCTCAATGGTTATGGACAACTTGCTGAAAAGGTTTGGAAGTGTTCTCCTTGCCCTCTAGTCTCCCAAAGAATCACTTAAAACCTATTACCCTTTCCCCTCAACCCCCTCCAAGACTGGGGATTGAACCCAGGGCCTTGGGCATGCTAGGCAAGTGCTCTACCACATAAGCTACACCCCCGGCCCTGGAGCTTCACTTTTCCCAACAGCTCTAAGCAGAATCCAGTAAGACTTTACCAGTGTGAACTGACAGTTCTTGGCTTTGTCATTCAGTGCCCCTGTCCTGGATTCCCTTTCTCCCAATGTTTCTACCTGGAATGTTGTCTCATTTCACTTTGCTTGGTAGAGGGTTATGTGAATTCAAACAAACAAAAGACCCAGTCAGACAAAGCGGCAGGACCAGGGATTCACAGGGGTTGTCGGTCAGATGTTATTTAGCCCTCAGTTCCATGCTTTCCTGCAGGGCTGAGATAGTCTGATGCATCATGGGTTCAAACCTGTCAGACTGCTGGCTGGATCTCAGAGAACCACCTGGTTGAAACTGTATCTGAGGGGATAGTTTGAGATTAGATGGGAATTGCAAGAGTGGTCCCTTGGCTGTGGGGACAGGGCCCCATCTTGCTGGTGGTTGGATTTCAGCGTTGGATGAACTTCTCTGGGTCCCCACCTCACTCTCCTCTCCCTCCTAGCACCATCTCATTTTCCCCTCACCTTCAACAATCTCCTGACATACCTTGTTCCCCTGTCAGCTTCTCTGCCTGGAGCTTAAGTCTGGCATTTCTGATTCTCTGCTGAGTATCTCCTCCTTGGTACCTTTAGTCAACACTCCCCTAATTCCAAATCTGCCCCTCCTCTGTGTCCCACCTTTCTGATGCAGTCACCTTTGATGCTTCATACCACTTACTTTTCAAGTCCTGACCATTCAACAACTCTCCTTCCTTCTTCTGGGTCTTCTTCCCTGACCTTCCCTTGGACTCACAGTGTCTACACAAATGGTTGATTTTCCTTCTCCCTTTCTGTTTGAGGCCTGTGCAGTCCCATCCCAACCCAAGACTTCTAGTCAAGTCTCTCTTACCTTTCCAGATTTTCTGCTACTGTACCCCCAGCACTACTTTCTTACTGTTCTAGAAATAGCAACTCTGCATACTATTTCTAGAATTTTCTCTTTCCTGCCTCTACCTTGCTTCTTGTTGGTCCTTCATCTGTCTTTATTTTTTACCTCTGTGAAATCCTCCCCACCCTTCAAGGTCAAATGCCACTTTCTCTGATCCCAGGTAGAACTGGTCGCTCATTGCCTGGTCCTCTGATGGCACTCTGTGGCAGTAATTTATGTTTGAGTCTTATCTGCATCCCTAGTAGGGGCTCGCTGAGTTAACGGAATGAAAGACTTGTACATGTTTTCATTTGCCACAGTAAGAAGAGCAATGCTTAAGCATCAAGTATATCCAACGTGTGGGCTTGGGAGATGGGCAGGCCAGGTTGGAAAGTCCCAGATCCACTCCTGCCCATGGTACACCTGTGAACCTCAGCTTTCACCGAAAATGGTGGTAGACTCTGCCACAAAACCGTTCCTAGACAACATGCACAAAAACTCCACTGAAGGCCAAGCTCATAATAAATGCTGATAAAGGTCACCTGTTTCTCCAGCTTCTGTGTGGTTTGCTCTCTGAGGCTGTTAAATAGAATAAAACCACAAATCAGGTCCTAGGTCTGGGAAGTTATTTATAAGGCAGACTTTTCAGAAAGGAGGCTGAGTTTTCCACTATTGTCCCACCCACCTGTCACATGCCCTGTCTTTCTGGGCAAACCACTCTCCCAGCCTGGGCCTCTGGTTCCTCATGATTCTGGCCTGACTTTCCATGGAGTTGCTCCTTCCTCCTCTTTAGCCCTGAGGTGTGTGGGTCCTTGAGGGGCAGCTTACAACAGGTGAGCACCGCCAGTAGAGAAGGAAGGTCAAAGGTCAGTTGCTGGAGCAAGACCCTTAACTACCTTGCTGTGTGCAGGAACTTCATAGAGAGCTGAGCTCTGAGATTGGGTGACTCTCCCAAGGTCATACAGCTGTTAATTGCTGAGCTAGCAGTAGAGTGGGGGTCTCTAATTCCTAATCCAGTGTTTCTTGCCTCTCCCTAAGTACACCGCACATACACACACACCCTGGGCAGATACTTCCTGGGCACTTTCTGCTTGGATTATATCACCAGCCCCAAGGTCCTACGCAGACCACCCCCCCACACACACCCAGCCTCCCAAGTGACCAGCTGCCACTGAGGATTTCAGAGTCAGACACACCCCCTGGTGTGTCTAACATACCGGTTCACTAACATACCAAAAACCACATGCTGCCAAGGCAGACTCCCTCTTAACCTTGAGGCAAGGTTGGGGCAACATTTAAAGGCAGAGTAAGAGTTTAGATCACAAATTTGTGCTACCGTGAGACATAGTTTATTTAACTATTATGTGATCACATGGCATGTTTGCACATGTGTGACTATAGCTCCACTTTTCACTAGCAACTTGTCAAATTTGCTTTGTGGATCCCCTCCCCGCTTCACTCTTTTCTCCCTCCTCATTATCCCATTCTAGCAGGGCCTCTCCTGCACCCCCTTCTTCCGACTCCCAGAAAGAGAGCTCTGTCACTATGTCAGTCACCCCTCAGGGCCTTTGCTGCAAAGGACAAAGCAAGGGCAAAGCAGAGAGTCCAGCTGAGATGACTGTTTTGACTTCCACAGCTTCTGTGTATGGACGGTCTGTCCCAGTGACCCTGAAATCCCATCTCCTGGGTGTTGCCTGACACAGATGACCAAACTGACCTGGTTGGGGTGGGACTCACCTGTGCACTGTCACCATTCAGCACAGCTCTAACTCACCTCACCACTCCGCTCCTGCTCCTCACCCCCTCAGCAGCTTCCATGGTAACTCACATCCAGCCTACTCCAAACCAGAAGCCCCAGGCCTGCCTTCCCCCTCTCCCCGCCGGTTAATGTTTGATTTGCCTGCCCCTCTCTCTTGTTAGAGGCATTCCCAGATAGGTCAGGAAGCACAGTTGTTACTCCAGAAGTCCATGTGCCCAGCTGCAAACTGGGGAGAAAAAAAGGGAGAAAGATATTGGGGGGCCAGTTCTCAGTGTTTCTAGAATGTTCTCATTCTAACATCCTACTTTCTTCACATTGCTTACTACTCCAAAACCTTAGTAGAGTGCTTGGTTTATCGCCAAAGATGCAATTTAGGCAGCTGAAGCTGCTTTTTTAGTCTTAGCTCCAGTTACCTGCACCAAAACTTCTTCTCCCAGAGGGGTTCACTCACAGCTTCCCAGATGCACCTTGGGTTTTCTGCTCTCATCCCGTGATCCACAGCATTCACCTACTTGCAATAACTTCCCCCTTTCATCCTGATGATGCAGTCCTCACCTCACACATGCTTGAGTTCTTGTGTGAGTCCTCCTGGAATGTTGTGCCAACAGTGAAGTGTGTCATCCTGTTTGTCTCCCCCTCCTCTCCAATCATGAATCGCTGCGTGTTTTGTCGTCTTTGCCATGTGTGGCCTTGTTTGCATTTCTGTCTCCATGTCCCAGCTAGACTGTGAGCTCCTTGGAAGCAGGAGGCACATCATACTCACCTTTGCTCCTCTGCAGGGCTTCACAGAGCTTTGTGAGCATTCCATCAAATATTTGTTGTGAGTGAGTGAAGAAATAAATACATGAGTGAGCAAGTGAGTGAGAGAGTGGAGGAAGAGGTGAGGACTCCCTCAACTTCTTGTTATTGGCCTGGTGCCCATGGATTTTTTTTTTTTTTTGTCCCCCTTTTATCCTTTATCAGGTGGCTCGACTCTTTCATTTTGTCTCCTCTTTGGACCTCAGAGAAGGGCAGGTAACCCTGTTGAGAGGTGTGACTAACTCCAAACTGATCCAGTCAGGTAGAGAGGCCAAGCAGCCCCCTCTGCCCACCAGCCCCTGGTCTGGATCAGAGGCAGGTGTCTCCACCCAGACACCTGTGTGTGAGTGTGTGTGACTCCAGGCTGGGCACATGGAGCTGGGCTCCAATTCATCATTCTGCCAGAGCCTCTCAGCGTGTTAATTTGGTAACATCTAACATGTGATTAACTTACTGGAATTTTTTTCCCCTTTGTTTAATGCCTGGAGAATGAATTGAATTTGATTATTGATGCTATCATGTAGGAATTCTTATCATTTTTTCCTGTTTTGTTTGTTAATCCAATTTTATGTCACAAGCAAGGCTTGCTCTTTGTGTGGCATGTTGATAAGGAGCCTGCTTGACACTGATGTGAAGCATGTATAGCTGCAGGGGTTAACTGTCAGTGAGCTGAGTACCCAGTGGGATTTGGACGGAAGTACTAACTCTTCTTGAATTACCGGTGGGAAAAGTGGTTACCGCTTGCCTGACTCACTAAACCTTTTGCCTTTATTCTCATTGTCATCAGTAGCAGGAATTAGCTACTACCAGAAGTGAGATGAGCTAAAATTCATGCTGTGCCCGTACCTTCCTCTGTGACCTGGTGGTCCCTTCAGGAGGGAAGACCTCATCAAGGGCTCCTGGAGATACTATGTCTTTCCTCTAAGTTCTGTTTTAATTTTTGTTTCCTTTTGTTAAAAAAACAAAAAAAAAACCTCCCATGTCATTTTTTAGTCTAAATGATATTTGTCAGAGTTGTACAAGCCTTACATTCATCAAATGTGTTCCTCAAGGTGACCTTGAGGGAATACTGTAGGTGTTACTGAAAATTAGAGTGTTCCTGGCACGAAATTCTACAAGGACAAAAGAGTGTGGAGTTGTGAAGAAAAGTTTATACCCCTGCCTTGCAGGAAAGTCTGTTCCTTGCAGCAGGCACTTTTGCTCATCAGATTCATTCATGGTCATTAAACAGGATAACTGGAGCCCCAGACAAAACTACCAAGATTCCCTCTGGGGTGGAAAGAAGTGGCAATTCTTAGTGGTGACAGATACTACAAAATATACTTCTGTTTCTACCTGGTCCCCATCTTCACCCACACAAGTCCTCCAACGGCCACTCAAGGGCACTTTCCTCTGAGACACCTTGCCTCACACATTATGTGCCATCTGTCCCTGCCTCCTGGGCCCCGCTGACACTTCCCATACATTCCTTTTAGACATATCCTAATTCCTTGGTCAACAGGATGCTGCCTCAGGTCTGGGACCCTGGCTGATGCATTCAGGTAGGGTGGGGGTTTTCTGCTGTTACAGGTCACAGGTCATAGAAGCAGCAGCTCCACAAACTGTCGTATGTTTACCCTTTTCTTTCTTCTCTCTCTCTCTCTCTCTCTCTCTCTCTCAGTACTGAGGATTGAACTCAGGGTCTTGCTCATGCTAAGCAAGCAGTCTGCCACTTGTGCCACACATCCCCAGTCCTTTTTTTTTTTTTGTTTTGTTTTCTATCTTTCTATCTTTGCTTTTCAATAACTTTCTCTTGTCTGGCCTCATACTCGAGATCCTCCTGCCTCCTTTTCTTGAGTGGCTGGGATTATAGGTGTGTGCTGACACACCTGGCTTGGTCACTTGTTTATTCTTTCCACCCCTTAACCCCTAATGTGTGTCAAGTAGAGTGGCAGATCCACAACTGCAATGGTAAAGGAAACAATCTGGGGAGGAGAGCAAACCAACAATGCCAGGAGTTAAATACAATTGCATGGAGTACAACAAAGAAGAAAGGCAGCATTGAGAACACTTACATAGAGTCAGAATGGTTAGAGAAAGCTGCTCCGAGAAGCTACAACCCATTTCATTGAGTCTAAAATCATAGTCTTAAGTACTACTAAGAAGGGAAGTGGCAGTGAAATCAGGACACAGTGCTTTTACACTAGTGTTTGCCACTTATTAAACAGACTCTTAGACTCATTTAGACAGACTTTTTTGCCAGTGTTACTTTGTGTATACAATTAAAAGGAACATGGAAGCACAACAAATGGGTGACGGTCTCCCTAACCTCATTCTTCACTGTCAAAGTTTGCTGAATTGCTCTTCAATTTAGCTCATCCAGTCATGGCCACATTGCACCATTCCCTGCTCTTCCAATGCACTGATGATGTAGAGCCGTTGTTTCTGGAATTTTATTTTTGCTGCTGATCCTCATTCTGCCAGTTCTGATGCTGCCACTTTCTTGATTGTGCCAGAAGTATCAGTGGAATGTGTTTTTAGACAATGGGACTCATATTTCTTTCTCAAGTGGTTTGCTAATTGAACACTCAGGGGCTTCCATTGTTCATTTGTGCTACGGGGAGTAACAACCGAGTGCATTCATGTGTAGGCGGTAACAACCATGTCAGGGAACTGGATTGAAGACTCAATCCAGTTTCAGAGATGAAAATACAATGTGCCTTGGAATTGATGAAAATCACTTATAAGAAGTCTAGGAGTAGGTGGGAGCTGTCCATCATCAGTGACCTAGTGATGCAGAGGAACTGGGTAGATAGCTCTATGATTTGCCTAGATACGTCAGTTCTAGACATCTGAGCATCCAGGCACTCTTCAAAACAGAGAGTAGGATCAGGCCTTTTTCTTACAGATCAAGAAGAGAAAATATCTTTCCCAGAAATCCCCCAGATTTCCCTTTGCATTCCATTGGCCAGAACTGAATGATAAGGTCATCTGTAGCTACAAGAGGGATGGGAAAATGTTTTTACATTTTCTCATTTCAAGAATGGGGTGGAAATGTCTTTTAGATGGTCAAGTAACAGTACATCCTACTGTGGTCAATTACATCTGGGATACACTGAGTTAAACAACCTGAAGTACTGGAGGGCTTCTCAGAGCCCTTAATATGGCAATATAGTTCATTGAATCATAGATTCATAGATTGGAAATGAGCTTTTTCCAATCTTAGGGAAATTAATTTCCCTAAGTAGGGAGCTCAATTTTGCAGACTACCAATGGACAGCCCTTGACTGTGTCCAGAATAACAAAACAAAGGCTCTCCAGAGCAGAGCTGAACTGAAGTGGCAGGTGGATTAGGGTTTGTGGGAGGTGAGTGGGAACAAGCTTTTGAGTAGAGTCTGAGCAGGGCTAAGAGGTTTACAAATGAGAAAGACATGTTGATCTTAAACACCTCCAACTCTTTTGATGAAGAAGGGCTAGTTTGTTTTCAAGATTCTGTCTCCATGCCCCTGTATTTTCCTCTGTCACAGGACTGGGTTGGTACTGAGCTAACTCCTGCCACTTCCAGTCTTCATAATGCTAGCGATATTGGAGCTAGACTGGCTGGCTTCTGGGAGTGAAATTGAGCCCTTTGCTCAAATGGACATGAATGATGCCTACTGCTGTTTTCTCTCTGAACTGTTGCAGATGGAGTTAGTCCCTGACCATGTATTTGGGCTTGGGGTCTTGGAGCCCCTCCTGGTCCTCTTGGCCAGAAGCAATCTTTTCCTTCTCTGATTTCAATGGCAACTTAGGTGTCCAAGCAGCAGCAACATGATCGTCATAGTTGGCCTTGTTGAACACTTCCTCTGCCTTGGGTTCCATAACGGGTACTTAAAGGGCATAATCTCACTGAATATGCACCAGCATCCTGCCAGGTGGATACTTTTCTGCAGATGAGGGAATTGAGTTGGAGAGAGGTTAAGTTTGCCCAGTTGCTGAAGGATAGGAGTGGAATGTGAATCCAGGTCTCATTGAGAACTCTTGTTCTTATTCTTCACGTTCTGTAACTTCTGGTAAGGCACTTCCTTTTTTTTTTTTTTTTAAAGTTTTGATGTTTTTTGGTTTTTGTTTTGTTTGTGGTCCTGGGGGTTGAGCTTAGGGCCTTGTGCTTGCTAGGCAAGCATTCTACCACTTGAGCCATTCCACCAGGCCCTGATAAGGTACTTCTGTGTTATTTGTACCTTTGTCATCTTATTTTTTGTCAGAAATTGAGCTGTATTTTTGCTATTTTCTAATAATACCCAGAAGAGTATGTTGTTCATAGAAAGTACTTGATAAGTCATTGTTGGACAGATAAATGAGTAAGATGAATGAAAGAGTACATCATAGTCAGGGGTGGTGGTGCACACATATAATCCCAGCATTTGGGAGTTTGAGGCAGGAGGATGTGAGTTTGAGGCCAGCTAGCACACATCATGAGACCCTGTCTCAAAATCCAACAACGAAAAAGAGTGCATCAGGCCTAAGTGTTTACCTCACATTGAATTACTCAATTAGTTATCAGAATGTTTTCTCAGAACCGATTTTTATTCTTTCAAATTCTAGATGTGAGGAAGGGGAAGGGAAGTGTGCAGTCCTGGGTTCAGTCCTCTGAACTGCAAAAATAAATGACATTCAAAATGTTACTGAGTAAAATAGTAGATTTGGAAGGGATATAACAGGCGCTGACCGGCCCTCATTTTCTTGGCAGAGATTCCCAGCTGTTAATCTTCAGCATGTAAGGCCTGGGACCCTTCCTCCCCCTCCATTCTAAATAGCCGTTTCTGAGGAAATGAGGGTGATTTCTGCTTTTCACATCATGTCCTCCAGATACTCTTTTGCTTCGATTTATAATCCTAATTCTACACATTTGAGTGGTTTGAGTGGTTTTCTTTTGTTACTGTTGATAGTTTCCTAGATGCGTGGTTTCTGTATATTTGGTAGGTTGGGAACTTATCTACTTCATATTTTAATGCATCTTTGCTTTGTGTTGGCCTTTCTTCTAAACTGTCTGCTGGTCCCTTTTGTTTGTCTCTAACTCACTCTGGATCTTTCGTGTCAGGGGATTGCAGTGCTTTGTTTGTCAGTTATTTATCTATGTGTTTTTTATTTTACTTTATTTTATTTTTTTGAGATAGGATCTCACTAAATAGCTCAGACTGGCCTTGAACTCAAGATGCTCCTGCCTCAGCCTCCCAAGTGCTGGGATTACAGGCATGCACCACCATACCCAGCTCTCAAACCCTCTCCCAACTCTGAAAGCCTCTAAATTATTTTGGCTCTTGCCTGTTTCACCAAACCCATCAGCAGCCCCGAGTCCTGGTGCCAGCTGCTCTGATTCATTTTGTGGTGATTTGTTGGTTCTGTTAAGCCTGTTGTGCCTTATTGTCCCCAAGTCCATAATTATCCAAATAAAATACTCTCCTAACGCTGCTGTCCTCTGTACCTCTGGTCCCCCTTGTTGCCCTGATACTTGAGGACGGTCTGCATGCCCCAGCATTTCTGAACAGGCCCAAGTTCATTGATTTGCCTCGTAGTTACTTGCTCGTTACTACTTGCTCCAAATCCCAACCCAATTCTTAGTAACTCCAGTCTCCTACCAGTCCTGTCCCAGTCTTAGGTTTTCTTTCCCCCACGCTGAGGCACACCTGAAGCACTGTTCTAGCCCTCAGCCTTCACTGTGATCCTGTCCACTACGGCAGATCCTGCCACCCAAGTGGCCAGGACCTTCTCTTTCACCCTATCATGCATTTATCTTGCTTTCCTAAACAAAACAACAATCCCCTGACCTCAAGAGTAATGCCATGGCTCCCTCAGAATATGAAATGGTTACAGTCAGCAGCAGGGATTTTTTTTTTAAATACCATTTTCCTGTTCCTGATTCATTACCTTTTGGGTATTTTATGAAGCTCAAATGCACCCACATAAGTAAATGTGCCTTATAAACAGAAACAGCTGCATATGTAAAAGAAATTATTGTTGTCACATATTAAAACAATATTGTGTGCATTTTATATCGTTTGGAAAGAGTAAGGGATGAGCATATAGAATATTAGGTTTTGATTTTCCGACCGCATTCTTGTGTACTTAGAACTGAGAAATACATAGCCATATATGGATTTTCACTTGTGTAAAGCCAGAGGGGCAGCTTAGAGAGTAAGTACTCCAGGCAGAAATCATCCCTGGGCCCCGGTCGTCAAGGGGGTGTTGGAAGGAGCCTGAAGCCAGAAGACCAATGGCTGTGCCCCAGAGAAGTCCTGGAATGTGCTGGGTTTGACCCTTTCTTTGTTTCCAGCAAATATACCTGGGTCCCTTCGCCTTGGTAGAGGCATCCCAAGACTTGATTTCCACCTTGCCAAGCCTCTGAGAAATAGTCTCTTGACCTTTGTTGCATCTGCCCCCATGACTCATGTGGTCAGGCCTCTGATGTGTGCCCTCCTGTGTTGTATCCAGGGACAGGGTGCCTTATCGGAAAGACTCCGGAGCTTCAGCATGCAAGATCTCACCACCATCAGGGGAGACGGTGCCCCTGCTCCCTCGGGCCCTCCTCCACCTGGTTCTGGGCGGGTCAGTGGCAAACACAGCCAGCCTAAGATGTCCAGGAGTGCTTCTGAAAGTGCTGGCAGCTCAGGTAGGTGTCTCTTCACTTTACCTCTTTTCTACTCTTTGGGCTTTGTTTTCACTGAGAAGCCTAGTCCATCAGGTGGCATGCAACCTGGCATTTGTCCTGTGGATCTGCCACCAACAGAAATGGTCATTAGACTGTCTCAGGCTTTCTTGGGGGACTCTGCCCAGGGGCAAGTTAGGTCACCTGCAGCAGAGGGCCCCTCTTCCTCTATTTTATTGCCTGGGGATTTGGGGGTGTTGAATGGGAGTACCTGGGCTAGGCCTAGAGGCAGCTGGCACAGCTCTCTTTGTTCTCTGTGTGTGTGACCCCACATTCAGGAGCCTTACCTGTGTAGAACCATGAGTGTCTTCTCTCACTCATCCAGGGCTGACAGCAAACATGGCTCTTCTTGCTGCCTGAATAATTCCTGTCCCTTCTCTCACTCTACTGTTTCCTCCTCCATCCCTGACCACCCATTCACCATGCCCCCCAACCCACACCTACCAAGGGCCACACAAGCTCTAAGGTCTAATTTTGGGGAGGCCAGGGCCTTCTGATAACTGCATCTCTGTCTCTGGTTGTCAAGAACCTGGCTTGAGGCTACCCGTATGGGGATTGACCTGGCAAGCTTGCTCCACATGCAGGATCCTGAGCCCATCCCCAGAGGCCTCCAGGGGCTCGGGGTGAGACCTACACATATTATACTGTGGAGATGCAGATGCATTCAGAACCCCCCCGTGTCTGATCCATCAGTGTGGGTTTCAGGCTCCTGGAGGGTTGGGGCATGGACTTGGGGGTTAAGGAGCTGGGCCAGGACTCATGGTTTCCCATACTGGTCCTCAGGCTGATGACAAGGACTTTGGCTCTCGGGAGCTGAGTACAGCTGCTATACAGCGAAGTGGTGATGACAGTGGTATAGAGGGCTGTGCTAGATCACACTCTGATGGGAGTGAAATGAGAGAAGGAGGAATTGGGCCATTCTTTTGAAACCTGTGGATGTGTGCCTGGTGTCTGCCCTGCCCTTAAACAGAGTCAATTGGGGACCTCAAGGCCACCTGGACCCAGACTGCATGCTCTGAGGTGCAGCCTACTGGGGGGCACCTTGGCTCTGAGCCCCAGATCTTGACAGATCCCACTTGACTAGGAGGTGGGGGTATGAACCATGGGCATGACAGCTCACACTCAGACCTAGATCTATCTATCAACACCCTTGGTGATCATCATTCCACTCCGGCCTCTCAGTAATGTCCCCTTTGCTGCTCCCCCAGGTTTGAAGATGGTGGATTTTTGGAGGAGATGTTTTAACCCTAGAAGCAGAGTAAAACTGAGGAGAGGGGGGGTTGTCCAGGGGACAGGGATGAAGGCCACCTTAGGGAAGGGTTATCTCCTGAGAGAATCCCTCACTCCCAGAACCTAGAGTGGAACCTCCAACATCCAGGGATGACTCAGTCCAACCCACTGCTTTTACCAGTGAAAAGACAAAGGCCAGGGGAGGGGAGGATAAAGAATGGTGAAGGGGGTGAATTCAAGTATGATATATTTGATAACTGTGAGAACTTTTGTAAATGCCACAATGTACCCCCACCCAGCACAACAATAAAAGAGTAAAGAAGAGAAAGAGAGAAAAGGACTAGGCAAGGAGACTGTTACTGGGTCATCTGCTGATAAGCTGCCATAAAGTGTGGCTTTGTGGCTGCCAGGCCAGAGTCCTCTGTTCAGTCACCCATGGACCATCAAGCTTCATTGACCAGCTATGGCTTTTAGCCTGCTGGGCACTGCCCGGAAATAGATATTGCTTCCAACCTTGACCGATTACTGAGCCTCAAGTGGAAGATGTCACTTAGGAGAAAAAGGGGCCCCATTCTGTGAGGCCTAGAGGGCAGAGCAAGAATCAAGGGATCAAGGGAGTAGCCACTTCCTAGCTGTATGACCTGAGCAAGCAGTTTAACCCTCTCTGTAACTCAGATTCCATGTTTGTACTCAGGAATACACCATTTGTGAGGATTTGATTGAAATAAGCCAGGTAAAGTATTTAGGATCGTGCCTGACACTAGTATGTAGTAGCTATTATTGCTTTTGTTATTTATCTCACCCAAGAAAACATTTTGTGACCAGGGAAGGAATGGGCTGCTTTGTGAGGCAGTGAGATCCCTGATTTTGAGGTGGCCCAAATCAGGGATTCCTGCAATGGCTAGGAAGTGGTGTTTTGTAACCCTGCAGTCCTTTTCCCTCTAAGAGTCTATCACACCACTCTAGAGGAGAACCAGGTAGAGAAAGCAGGCTCAGAGAGGTCATGCATGGTCCTAAGGCCACACAGGACCAAAATCTCCATCCAGACCTCCCCTTGCTGAATTATTCAGGGTGGCCTCAGAACTGGGAATGTGAGGAGCTTGGCTGGGTCCAAAAGATGATGGGGATTTCTGCTAGGCCTTGATCACCTTCTCAGTTTAGCGACAGAGAGAACAGAGTTTGGAATGATTTGGTTTAGTGTTTGGCTCTGCCACCCTCCATTAGCAGAGCTGGTGACATCCCCTGTTACCCCTCAGGGAGGCAGAGGGGAGTGCTTTGGCAGTTGGGTGGAACCAGCTAATGCTGCAACATGACCTGATCTTTCACTGTCCTTTCCCTTGGCCTCAGCATCTGTGGCTCAAGAGGCAGAAAAGGGAAGTGCCGACCCAGCAGAGAGGCCAGGGACATGTGGCACTCTCTCCAGCTGTTTTGGGGCCTAAAACAAAAGCCATTACAGAAAGACGGACAGGTGAAAGATGGTCCAGGCTCTGGGTGTGGGGCAAAAGGCCTACATAGGAAGCTCTGAGGCTGTTCTGCCCCTAGAGTGAAGGTCAGGATCCCTAGGAGGAGGTCTGGCAGAGAAAGCCCAGCCACACAGGGCTGCTGTGCCCTTTCAAGGGTAGTAGAAAGTACCCTTGAGTAAGAGAGCTGACTGGGCTTCCATTCTGGCTGGGTGACCCTGGGCCTGTGCATACGGAGAAAATGCTATACAGTGAAGCAGACACCACCACTAAGTAGTCACCATGCTTATTCCTTCTGGGCCTAGATTCAGCTTCAGAACTTTTCTCAGAATATACCAGCCACTAGCAGAGGATTTAACCTTGGCACAGGGAACAGACCCAATTTCCTTTTGTTTTTGCCTTTGGAAAAAGGGCCAAATAATCCCTAGTCAGCCTGCATCTTAGGGTTGTGAGGAACAACAAGACCATTTGTAAACTCTGGACAGATGGCAGGAGTGAAAGACAACCTGGGAGAGAGGACAAGTAAGAGACTGTGGCTGCAGCCCAAGAAAGCCTGTGCAGTCATTGGAAGTCACAGATTAAATGGACACATAGATGGATCCTGAAAGCATGATGCCTTATGAAAAGAGAACAAACAGAAGGAGATTTTATGTAACAATTTATGTGAAATAAAAGCACAAGTATTAAGCAAAAGAACAATACAGTTTGTAATAACAAAATGATGCATATTCAGCCAGGTGCAATGGCTCATGCTTGTAATCCTAGCTACTACCCTGGAAGGGGAGATTGGAAGATTTCTTTTGAGGCCAGTCTGGGCAAAAAATTAGCAAGACTCCATCTCAATTAATTAAAGTCTGCATGCCTGCCATCTCAGCTACTTGGGATGTGTAAGGCAGTAGTATCGTGGTCCAGGCTGGCCTAAGCATAAATGCAAGACCCTATTAAAAAAAAATACCTGAAAGCAAAAAGGGCTGGGGTGTGGCTCAAATGATAGAGCTCCTGCCTACTTAGCACAATGGCCTGAGTTCAAACCCCAGTACTGCCACAAAAGAGAGAAAGAGAGAGATTCAAATGTTAAAATCACTGCTCCTGAAGAGGAAGAAGAATGTGAGTGAGGTATTGGGACAAAAGTCATGCAACTGTTCATAAAAAGTGAGGGTTCCCATGAACCAGTGATGACCGTTTGATGAAAACTGAGAAGGAAGGTTTACTCAGCCCTCTGTACCCCAAGGAAAGAGGAAGCAAGCAAGGGAGGAAGGGAGTGCACAGACTGTACCTGTATGCTGACTTTGCCTTGCTAGCTCCTGGACGACAGATGCTGTCTGTGCCTCCCTCTAACTACCCCCAAAGGGCCAACACAGGCTCGGCACATAGAGGCATGTGGTCTTAGGAGGTGCAGACAGGCTCTGGACATCTCCATTGGAGATGGAGAAGGATAATTCTCCTGCTGCTTTTGGCACGCAGGGAGGGGTAGTGCACCTGAACTGACCTCTTGAGAACCTGCTTGGAGTTTTCCTTTTTGCTTAAGGGGCAGGGCAGGCAGGGACTGATATTACCCTCCCTGCAGAGTGAACTGGGAGGGACTTAGACACAATCCACTGAATGCCTGGCATAGGTACATAAGGAGTTGAATGAATGATGCTAGCCTTCCATGGGTTTTGTCACTCAGTCAGCATGTGTATAATGCTGTATAACAAGACCCCAACATGCACCAAGATCAATGGTGTTTGCAAGGCAGTAGCCAATTAGGCTTTCAGCCAAATGCCCAGATAGTAACTAGTGCATTGGATTCAGAGATCAATCTGAGGAGGTTTTCTGGAGGGCTTTCTAAACAGGAAGGGCTGGAGGAGAAGGAGGCTTCTGGGAGGGGGTGGATTTATTTCCCAGAGGAGACTTTGATCCTATCCCCTCACCCTCCATTGGGCTGCAGGACACAGGGCCAGGTGAGGGTATGTTCTAGCACCAACAAGGAAGCTGAAGTTGAAGTGTCCCCTCCTTCATCTTGGTATCTCTGCAGAGACCCTCTTTCCTGGGTTTCCCCACACCTCCCTGGGGCCTCCCCGTTTGCCTGGGACTGGTTCCTATCGGGTGGGGGATATTGCTGATGGTGCCCCACCCCATTCCTACAGTGTGTACCTGCTGCTCCACCTGCAGGACCCGGAAAGGTGAGTAGCAGCCAACCCCCTGTAGCCTGCTGGACTCTGGCCTCAGGAGGAGGCCCTAACCATGAGCTGGCACCTGGCCTCGGGGCTCCTTTCCATCTGCATGGTCCAGGAGAGGGAAGAGGACCTTTAAAACAGCAAACACACTGTTTTGCAGTGTCTGTGGGCTAGGATGGGAGCAGCCAAATCTCTCAAGAGGCCATAGTCAAAATGTCCACAAGAGCTCAGCCATCTGATGGCTTAACTGAGTCTGGAGGATCCACTTCAAGATGGCTGTCATGGCTACTGATGGAAAGAGGCCTCAATTCCTTATTTCATGGGCTTCTCCAGGGCTGCCAGAATGTCGCTACAACATGGCAGGTGGCTTGGCCCAAAGTGAGTGGTCCAAGAGGTAGAGGACAGGCAGGAAACCATGGTATCCTTCATGACCTCATTTTTGAAGTTACACCTGCCACTTCTGCCTTATTTTATTTATTGGAAGCGAGTCATTAAATCCAGCCCACATTCAAGGGGAGGAGACTCATTTCCACCTCTTGAAAGGAGGAGTATCAAAGAATGTGTGGGGATTTTTCAACCTCCACAGGGTCATACTTCCCTGTGCTATGAGTAATGAGGATTAGGAATTTACAAAGGTCCTCTGAAGTGACAAAGTCCTGAAGTTCCAGGGGGTTCTGGTCCTGGTGCAGCCAAGGGAGCCCTGGTCCTGCTTTGCCACTTACCAGCTATGCAACTTCGTGTGAGTCGCCGCCTAACTACTCTGAGCCACCGTTTCTCAATCTTGAAATGAAGATAAAGATCCCTATGTTCCCACTTCCCTGCACTGTTGTGAAAATGGCTGTGAAAGAGCTTTTTAAAGGATTGTTGCTATTATTATAACCTGGAGTAGCCAGGAGAACTCGGAGAGAGGATGAAACTGGCCTTTTCCCACCCAGTGTTTGTGAGTGACAGCTTGGTGGAGCCATGGCTACCCTGCTATTGGCAGTGTTGTTCGTTTATGACCTGCTCTTCCTGTTTGCCTAACCTCAACTGGACACCTTAGGGACTTTAGCCCAGTATCCTTGTGATCCTTCCTGGTTCCCCAATAGAGGATCCATCCTTGGCTTTGAGGATGGGGTGGAGGGGGCACCCTCGCAATTATTAGGCTCTTCGCACATCCATATGGATGGCAGCCTATCAGGACATGAAACTGCCTTACATGAAGTGTTCTGCTTTCCCTCCATTTCTTCATTTTTAGGTTTCTTAGTGCTAATGTTTTAAGGTCTATAAGAGACCAGGGAGGCAGCTGGCTGCCCTTGGCCATAGGGTCATTGTTGGTACCTGGGCCGCAGCCATCATGGTGAGCCTCCTTCAGATTGTGCGTGACCACTGGGTTCATATACTTGTCCCTTCGGGATTTGTCCTTGGATGTTTTCTAGACAGAAAGAATGATGAAAGGCTAACTGCCTTCCGGAACAAGAGTCTTTTATATAAAAGGGAATTGAGGCCCAATGAAGAAGTTACCTGGAAGTAAAGGCTGGCTGATCACAGGATGTTTACATTTTAAAAGTTATGGAAGAAATAAAAACTCAGTTATTATTTAATTAGTTAAAAAAAAAAAAGAGAGACCAGGGAAGCTAGGGGGTCCAAGTGCAAGGTGAGCAACATCGGAGTGCTGAGCAGGCACACAGTTGGAGAGCAGTGTTCTACCCAGGCTTGACAACCCACCTAGGTCCCACTGGGGCCTTCCAGTCCACATTGGAAGTTGAGGGGCTGCACACAGCTTTTTCCAGTGCTAGGCTCTACGACTTGGGCCTGGTGGACTTACTAGTTCACCAGAAACAACCATGCAGCCCTGGTGGTCCCAGGAGACAGTGGTTATTTCTGTCTAGTCATTCTTCAGAAGTTTGAATCTGGGCTGGCGACATGGCTCAAGTGGTAGAGCATCCTGAGTTTAGTCCCTAGTAGCACCAAAAAAACCAAAAACCAAAAAGTTTGAACCTGTAAATTCCATGACCTCTAATCCTGGAATATTGTCACTTGTGGGAGCCAGAAGGGTAAAGTTTACTCTGCTCCATTCTTTGCTCCTGGCACTGCTCTGTGCAGCTCTCAGAAGCCCTCACCTGCTGTGACACCTGGTGGTTTCATAATCAGAGGCTACATTCCAGCCGTTTAAATATAACTGCAGCTGATGGTAAGAATTTTGGTGGGCCGCTGTGCAGGCAGGTTGGCCAGCTATGTGTACTGGTATGTCCAAGATTCAGTGTTTCCTCTCCCCAAAGCAAATAAGGGGCTGTTAGGGAGCAGAGCAGGCAGGACTTGGTAGAGGCCTCCAGCTGAATGGCTATGCTCAGAGACCTAGCCTGGATGCCTTGATCCAGCCCCAAGTTTCTAGGGCCTTTCCCTCTCCAGGGGAAAGCCCTATTTACATCCAGTGCTCTCGCTGATCCCCAGGACTGCTTGCAAGGAACTATCTGATGATTCCTCTATCGCATTCCCGACTGTGACCTTGGGGAAGTCACTGCACTCTAGAACTCAGTCTCCTCCTCCATAAGGTGGTGAGGTTGGGTTGGATGTCTTGTGGTCCTTCCAGCTCTGAAGATCTCTGCAAGTGAAGGACACTGGTCTGTGAAGTGGTGGCAGACAATGTTGGGGGAGGTTTATTTTGCACCTGGGGCTGGAGGTCAACTCTCAAGCAGCAATGCCACGAGAGAGGATTCCACGGTGTCACCAATGCTTTCTTCCTGGCCCCCTGGAATGGTATCATATGGTGGGGGGGTGATCAGGCCAGAGCCTGGAAAGGTTTAAGGTATTTGGGGGACTAGTAGAGCCCCAGGATCCCTGAGCAGAAAGTATAGTTTCCTAAGGATTGTAAATCCAGATCTTAATTCAGGATGGGGATTGGGAAAGGAAGGATGGGCATCTTGGAAGCCTGTAAGCTCCTCATAGGGCAGTGCCAGCCTTGGCAATAGAATCAGAGGCCCCACAAAGCTGCAGATATTAGGCAGAGCCTATTCTAAGTTGCACATTTTGGATCCCAGAAGGTTCTCCCCCCCTCCACCTCTGCTCTGTTCCTTCTCCTCTGTCAATCTGTTCCTGTTGTTTCCTGCACCTCTCTCTCCCTGCCCCCTCCCTCCCCTGCTTCTATTTTTGTATCTCTCCTCCACCCCTCTTTTCTCCCTACCTATCTTGATGGAACATGGACCAGAACTCAGGGTTACTGTCTATAATTAGCCAGAGATATTTGCCCCCTTCTTTTAAAATCAAGTATGTGGGACCTAGTATTAAGTGTGGTGGGTTTCATCCCCAAAGACCCTGTCCTAACAGAGTGTTTTCTTCTCTCTCCTCGGTGGCTGCTGGGGACGTGAATGTAAGTGTTCCAGATGGGCATGCTCGTCAGTCATGTGTGCGGCCTTCCATTAATTGCTAGCGTGTGCTGTGGGGGATGTGTTTGCTAACCTGGGGTGTTCTGTGCTGCAGGATAGGGAAGCCCAGGGCTCAGCACAGCCGGCTCTGTCAGGCCTTTAAAGGGCTTAGTCTCATCCACTTTAAGCTCCCTGCCTCCCCTTGGAGAGAAGAGGTGGAGCCTGATGCCCTGCCTGCTGTACACTGCTGACACTTCCTAACACACACCCATTCTCCTTCTGTAGAAGACAAACATGGACCCTTTTCTAGAGGCCACTCAGCCTTGGGTCCTTTGGTGGCAGCTCTGTGGGCCCGAGGCCAGAGCTGCTGTCACTCAAGGTTTATGAAGCGTTGTGGTCATGACCTCGCATGGGAGACCCTGCTCTCACACAAGTCTTCTCTGAGGCCATCAGAATGCTAGGGTGTAGATAGCAACAGCCTTTCAGGCCCAGTGCCAGGGCAGAGGACATGTTGGGTCAAAATTCTACGCAGGTCTGTGGAACAAGAACAGTGCCCAAGCCACTCGGTATCGTCTGCAACCTGGTGCTGCCCTCAGTGGGGCTGTGTTGTTATGGGGCTTAATCATTCTTCTCCCTTTTCTGAAAAGGATTTAAGTCTGCTCATAGAAATGTGTATAACATAGTGAACCAAAGCAAAAAAAAAAGCTTGAGGAAAAGGGAGTAAGATAGGGTCCAGATGAGAAGAAAATTTAAAATACCCACCATCAGGATGTGGACTGTCAAAGATGCTGGGCTTCCTCAGCCATTGCAGAGGGGAATAGAATTAGTTAAGAGATTCAGCATCCACCGTGCACTGGGACTCAGAGCTTGGCTCATCAAGAACGTTTATTCTCATTGGTCCTGAGACTAAGACAATATTGCAAACAACACTGGGCAAAAACGTTCAGGGCACATGGTGACCAGGAGGGATCCTCTCCTTTTAGGAGGTGCTTTGTGCAGCTTCCATCTGAAGCTACTTCTGGCCCCCAGCTGCCCACATCGGCCTCCCTTTCTCCCAGGATCTACTCAGCTGAGCACTAGTTTCTACTCCCACATCCATGTTTGGGTTCCCCTTGACTGTTACGGGCCAGATGGTTCTTTTCCACCCTACCGCCCTTGTTCAAGGATGCAGTGGAAAAGATGCACAAAGCTCTGTTGGGTTCAGTCCTGAGGTGATGGTTGTTATTGTTACTGCAATGTGTGAGTTCCCTGGATGCTTCAGTGCATCCAGACCAGATGAGATGTTAGGTGCCTGAGATCTTGTTTGGGGTCACTTTCTGATGCCCATAGCAATCACTACAGGAAAAGCCCTGTATCAGGGTTTAGAGGGAACATCACATGCACATGTGAGGCATAGATTCGAACCAGTACCCAACCCCACTCCCAGGATGTGGGTTTCCTGGTGGATGGAGCCTGGCCAAGCTGCCTCTGAAGATAGACCTTGGTCTGAGAACTTTTGGTCCTGGGTAGTTATGTCTGTTATTCCTTCTGTCAGGCAGGAGGTATCTTGGTGGGTATTAAGCTTGGACATGGGGCAGAACTGAGCTGTCTGAAATGACACCAGAGTTCCACTGAGTTTAGTGGATGAATAACCACTGAGTGTCCAACCTGGGTCAGGCGTCAACCAACCATGGTCTTATAAAACTTTAGTACACTTTCTGTTGGACTGAGGTAGTGAAACTGACATGAGAACCAGGGCATGTGGCACAAGTTGTGTGCTATTACTCTAAGCACAGCTGGGGTCTCCGGAATGGGAGCCTTGGGAGGGGCCGAGTAGTCCAGGAAGTCTCCAGGGGTTATGTGTTCAGCAGTATCTGGAAGAGTTCAACTGATTTGGGCAGGGGAAAGGAGTAGAGAACAACCTAATCTTGGAGTAAACAGGCAGAGGGAAGCACAGAGCGAAAAAAATCCAAGGCGCCTTAATGTCAGGCCCTTATTAAGGTGCAGTCTGAGCAGCTCAATGTCCGCCCACCATCCTGCTTTGCAAGGCCAGGTTAAGGCAGTGATGCACATATGCTGCCCTCTGCTGGTTCTCGGGAGCAAGGCAGCAGAAACTGGTAAAGCCACTCAGAATTGGATGCTATCTTTACTCCACACCTGGTGCTGTTACAGTGTAGCCAGTCCCCTGCCCATGGAAGACAGCACATTTGGTGGCTGACAGGTCTTAGGATGTCTCAGCAAGAACTCAGGTTTCTATCTGCAGACTTCAAGGTGGTGGTACCAGTTAAGATGAGGATCCTCTAGCTCTACCTTCTGTGATTCTATGTAAAAACAATATAGATAGCATAGATGTGTCTGTGAATGTCAGATGAAGCTGGATATGGATAGAGAACAGTTTACATCTTGAATATGAGCCACCTGACTAGGCAATATGGAATAGACTGCATTCAATAAGACAAATTAATTCTGGAGCTTTTCCTGTGGATTTATTCAAGACAGACTGAAACAGGAGTCTCTCTCTCTCTCTCTCTCTCTCTCTCTCTCTCTCAGAGGGGAAAGTGAAGGCTACATTCAGATTCTGCTTCTACCATGCATCTCTGATTTTTTAGCATGGGTCTTTGAAATGAAAAATTTGCACAGCTTTGCTTAAGATTGGCACTCAATACATTGGTTAATGCACTGTCAACATTACTCCTATGTACAATGTAGAAAACCATGCCTCCCACCTTGAGATCATCTGCTCTGCTTTTTAAGGAGATTCTTTCCAGAGCATTCTTCAGGTGTGGAGTCACAGATCTAAGGTGCAGGGTTTGGCATGTCTTAGTTAAGGCAGCTGTTGCTTCTCCCAGGGGAGTGGTGCCACCAACATCCCTTGTGTCTGTGCACACTGCCTGGTGAATGTTACAATCATACTCCCACAGTCTTGAGCCCCTGCAGGGAGCCCAAAGACACCAGTGCTTCTTTAGACAGAGCCTCAGTTGTCCTAACAGGCCTGGCTTGTGTGCTGTGTTTAACACTGCCCTTCCTTGCTCCTTTCGACACTGATCCCTCCTCACCGTACTCTGTCTCCTTTATGTAGATTGTAAATGGACATTAAGTGGTTGAGGGAGATGTGAATGAGGGTGGTGTGAAGGCATGGGCACCCCGCCAGGTCCAAAACCCACTGGCATTTTCTGACGAGGAGGAGGAAGACCTGCTGGAGTTCATGTACAAGTATAAGGCACCAAGAAGGACGGAGTTGCCCCTGGAGGTACACGGTGTCTGGGGCTGTGGGTTGGAGCATGTGTTTGCCCAGGGGCTTTAACCTGGAGCTCTGGGGATCCCAAGAATGGTGTCTGTTGGGGTACCCAACAACTCCTGAGTGCTTAGATTGAAAAGGTCTTCCTCCATCAAACAGGCAGGACAAACCACTAGGTACTTGTCAAGGTATATGTGTGTGGGAAGGGAAGAATCTACTAATTTTATTTAAAAATAGGAGAGGTGGTAAAGCATGTAGGTTTTGATTTTTTTCCTAAATATCAGCAGCTATTAACCTAAGATGATACACCAGTAAAATATAACCCAAGTAAATGTTTTGGTGTAAGGAAAACTTAAGAATATGTTATTTGTCAGGTTTTTATAAACAAGGCTTGTTCATCACTCTATCTTCAAAACATAGCATTGTGCCTGGTACAAAATGGCTATGCAGTGTTATCAAAGGGGCACAACTCTTTAAAGTTACCAAAAACAATCCATTTGACATAGTTACCATGGATGTTGATGGGGTTTCCGCAGCAGGAGTGCCAAGTATGGAGCTCATGGGCCTTCCTGTGTGATCTGAGTGGGGAATCGCCAGTCACAGGCTTAGGGAAAAGTCAGCAGACTACAGGGACCACAAAGATTTCCCCTCTGCCCCCTCAGTTTCCTGTGCTGGCCTGAGGGACTATCTGGGGCAAATTGAGAGTCCTCTGTGAAAGTCAGATGAGTTGCACTGAAATGTTCCACCACACAAACATGGTGGCCTAATGTTAGTCACACATTCCTTTCCAAGGTGAAGCATACGTGGATCACTTATTTTTTTTAAATTATTTTTGTGAGAGTGTGTATGTGCTGCTGGGGATCAAACCCAGGGTCTTCTACATGCTGGGCAAGTACTCTACTGACCTACACTCCCAGCTTTCAGTTAGAACAGTGGCGGAAAAGGACACAGTGTAGAGTGTCTCTAGCTACAGAGAATAGGGGCTGAGGGGGAGCCCCTAGTTGTGAATCCCCTTAGGTGCTATGCTAGGAGAAACTCTGCCCTTTCATTTTCATAGCAACTCCTACGATTTGTGCATCCCATAGGAGGAAGGGGTTTCCTGAGACATTTGTGGGAGAACCTTTGATTCTTAAAGGTGCTGTTTGCCTTTGTGGTGTGGTTTACTGTTCAGTGAAAGGTTTCATATTCAGAATGGGTACTGGAAATTTGAGGAGCATGCCAGGAAATGTAAGGCCAATTCCCAAAGGAAATAACAGCAACCAGGGAAAAGCTGGGGAGGCACTTCTCTGCTGAGTCACTTGTTAAGATCATTTGCTCCTGAGGTGGAAACAAGAGATGCATCATTCTGCACAACCATTCCCTTGGGAGACCTCCAGGTTTAGGACATGAAGCACCCAAGAGGGAGGCATTGGCCTTTACAGTGGGCTCAGCCTCACAGGGTGCATGGGATCCCACCCTTATATTCCTGCTATGAATACGTAGAGGGAGACCCCCAGCTCTACCCACTGCCTCACTCATGTGCACTTGGCCAAGGGAGCTGAATGTCTCAACATGCCCCCTGCCCCCCAGTGCTGTCCTCAAGATTCCATACTCATGCCACACTGAGGGATACCCTCTCGCTTTCTCTATCAGGTACCGCCTAGAATCCTTCGTTCTCGCTTCAGGAAGAAAAGTACCTCATCCTCGGCCACTGAAACCACGTGAGTGAGATGAGCCAACAGCACCGGATCCACAGAATGTCTCTTCTCTGCCTTAAAGAGCTAGTCACTAATAACACAGAAATCCGCAGGCTGGGTGTGCTTTGAGTGTGCAACCTCACAGACATGGCCTTTACTCACTCCCCTTCCACCTTTAAGAATTCCTTTCTTTTTTTCCTTTGAAGTTTTACTGGGGAGAGGCTAAAGGGAAAGGCTGGGGGGGTGGACCTTTAAGTCTTCTGAGGTTAGTAATTTTCCACAATTGGATTGTCATTACAGATAGCAGTGTGTTTTTAGAAATGCAAGTGATATCACCCCTATGCTGCTGAGATGTACATTTGTAATTTATCTGTTGCATATTTAGTTTTTAGTCCTGTAAATGCAAATGAAGCAATTTTAAAAAAAACAAAACTTTTTGTTCTTGGTACTAATACTTTGGACTACGATGTACAGATTTATGGCTTTGGCTTAATATAATGAACTTGCAAGGGCTGCCAGAGGTTCTGATGAGAAAACCGCAAAAACACCAATGTAAGCAAATATTTTGATTCTAGATGATGTCTCTGATGTGCTTGTAAAAAGCTTCCACATCCAACTCCAGTAGAACAGCCCTTTTCCTGAAGGAAGATGGTCCATTTCTTCAGACGGTTGTGTAGTTAACAGGCAGGGGAGTCAGGAGTGCAGAAGGGCAGTATTTTAGCAACAGCAGAGCGTGTCGGTGAGAGGTCAGGGCAACGACGTAGGATAAGGAAAGTCAGGAAGCTCACCTCCTGTTTGGATTCAGGATGAAGAACTTCTGAACCCTTTGAGCTTAAAATGCTACTGCCTCAGGCAGGCGGCTCTACCTTAGCAAAGCTTCTCCAGCTTAGGAACTCACAGCTGGAGAAAGAATTGTGACCATTTCAAAAGTGCTTGGCAAGCAAGTACTTCTCCTTCATAGGTAGAGGAGCCTCCAATCTGAACACCTTGTTTTTAGAGAACACTACACAAAAATGAAAAAACTAGAACTATGCTTTGTTTCGGGTATGTTCTAGATGGCTGTATAACCAGCATGTTACACAGAGTTCTAGAAAGGTTAGAGGTTGAGATCTTTGGTGGATGACTCGCTGCTCAGACACATGGGCAGCTGTGGCTCACCGTTCTCCCCCTGGCCGTGTGGAACGCGAGCAGAGGTGGACTCACGCTCACGGCACTCAGGTCTCACTGGTGTTTTACACAGGCCAGGGCTGCTTCGTAGGGGATAAAGCATTGAGGATTTTGAGACGAACCTGGCTTAGACAACATTGTGATCTGAGGTAGCTGCCCTCCCTTCTGGGAGCTGAGCCAAAATGTAGGACTAGTATATTTGTGCTTAGAGTTGGTGTTTTCTTTCAGTGTAATGCATGCAGTCAGTGGTCACAACCCAGTTACTCATATTTGGATTGTGTTTGTTCATAGATATGCCCTGAAATCTAGACAAGTAGTGTTATATACAACATATTAACTGTCAAGCGACTACAGACCCAATTAAAAACTGCTCCATTACTGAGCTGCACAAACACGTATCGATGGCCTTTGCTGATAATGTGTTAGCTAAATCATAGCCACCTCACAAAGGGTTTAGTTGAGTTCATTCCTGCCAGGTGTACATATTGAAATTGCTTCTTCCCACAGTTCCTCTGAAGGTGATTTTGTAATTTACAAAGGGATTTAAGAAAATAAGACTAAAAGCAAATTCATGGCTGCGAGGACAAATAGAGGCTGTCAGCCCACTGTCTGTGCCTCACACCCATGAACACCTGAATCTGTTAGGGAAGACAAAAATCTGTTCTCTTCAAGCTCTTTCGAATAGTTCCAGACAGGAAAAATATACTTAGTTGGGTGTACTCAGAATTATCAGAAGCAAGTGCAAAAAAAGCTTAAGTGAAGCAGCTTTTTAGCAATTTTTTTTTTGCCAAAATAATAAATGTCTTTAGCAGTGGAGCTCAAAATTCTATTATATTTTCACCATTTTACAATGGAAAGTTATAACAAGTTTAGGCTATCAAGTATGCACTCAACTATGCCAAAAACAGTTTGAAGCACTGTACTTTCAGACATGCTGTATTACTTCTCATTCAAGATTAAAAAATGTAAAGGTATCCAAACTATTGTCTTAATGTAAATGTAACCATTTTTCTTTCAAGTGTTGACTAGGGAGTTGATTTCTCTCTTAAAGTCACTCACTGTACAACTGAGAGCAGCTGTCATATTTCTGCAAAATGTGTTTACTTACCTGACAAGCTGTATATTTGTGTATGGACTTACATAAAATGTGAATGCCTATCAGTGTACACATTGTAGTGTGGTGTTCTGTCTAGAGGATATAAATGAATGTTTTTAATTTGCTGACATACAGACCCAGGCTGTTTACAAAATGCTAGCTCGAAAGTCTGTAATTTTCATGTGATAACCTTTAGTTACTTGCCATTGAGCAGGTGTCCCATTTCTGAGGTAAGATGTGGTCTTGTGCTTATCAACTGGACAGTTTAGTCATAATTCCTCCGGGCTTTGTGTGAATAGCTTGCTCACTTTGCTGGCCTTTGAAATGTGTGTCCTCCGTGGTAAACTGTCCATGTGTTTGTGCTAAGAGTGCTTGTCAATCATGACCATCATTGAGCCTTCCTACTTCTTCACCTTGCACAGTATTTGAATGACAAAGGATGTGCTTCATCCTCTAACAGCGTACACTCAGAGCTGATGTTCTGGATTGTAACTGTGCACATTTCCTCTAGTTTATATCTGAAGTCTCCATAGAACCATCTATAATTAAATAGTATACTGGACTGTGTATCAAAGGGATGTAAAATTACAGTATTCCAAAGGCTGAAGTTCTGTTGTTTTGTTATAATGCCTGATAAACATCTTGAATAAAGTCTTAACATTTTCTTTTAAAAATATCTTTGTAATGTTGGGCTTCTGAAGAAGGAGGAAATACTTTTTTAAAAATAGAAGGTACCAAGGATTAGAAGTTGAGTGCTCAACCACTACCTGGCCAGAAAACTTGGTTGGCCCCATGTCTACTGCATATGATTACTGGCAGGAAACAATTCAGTGGTAGATGGTTTGTAAACTATTGATCACACAAATATAAACCTGAAAGATGTTGTTTTACATTTTAAAAAGATTAATGGACACTGGATAGCTTTGCAAATACAGTAGTTAATAGTAACAGCTTTTAATTCTGCAAATACTGTTGCTCAGTCATTTTGTGCAAGGGCCATTGTCTGTGGTAAGGATGCCCTTAACCCTTTGCTGCCCTTGTCTTTGCAACATGAACAGGTATACTCAAGATTCACTGGGAGGTCATAAAGACTTGAAAATATCAAAACTAAACACAGACCTATTTTCTTTGCTTTCATAGTCCTACATTCTGTATGTTCGACACAAGGACCATAAAGTGTCAGGAGGAAAAGAAGTAGATTCACAGGAAAGAATGGAAAGGAAGCTGGAGTTCCAGTCTTTTATTCATGTACTCAGTCAAGTCCAATGTCAACAGAACTGAAATTATCAGGTTAAGAGTCAACAAATAACAGGAAAGTAAAGTTATAAATTGGTAGCATTATTAAGTATTTAGTATTTATAGTGTTAGATTACAATCACTTGTTGATTTAGATACAAATTTTCCTATGTTGTTAGAAGACTGAGGGAGATACACAGGATCCCAAGGAATTAGAATAGATTCTGAGACTTATTAGCTGTATTTTGGGTAATTTATTTAACCCTCCCTAGGATTTAGTTTCCTCAAATTTAAACCAGGGAACGTTATTACTTTTGCAAGATCCGTAGAAGGTTTAGCAGTTTGTGGATATGCTGAGCATGGTAAGTATTCAATAAATTATCTGTATATGTGAATAAACTACGTACTTTCTAAATTATACATCTACTTGAGGGTCCCGTAGGCAGACTCTAATTTAGTGAAAGCTGGGCTTTGTTTATAGGGCCTCATGCTTGCTAGGCAGTCGGTCTCCTAAAATGAGTTTTGGTGATAATCATTCCTCCCCAAACACTGTGCCAATTGCCCCTTCCACTTCAGCCCATTTCTGCATGCTGAGGTTCTGGTAGCCAGTCCTTGTCTCTATCACTTTTGTCTTTGGCCTGCAGGAGAAACCAACGTGCTCCAAGGTCCCTGTAACAGCGACCCTAGGAGCCACATTTACATTAGAGAAGTCACGGAGGCTGTTGGAAAGTGTCCTTCTCCCAAACTCTGTGTGTACCAGTTCATCCCACTGCCAGAGGTGTGCTGCAGGGTAGCAGCAGGGCAGGTAAAAAGAGGTGCGAAAGCCTCATAAGTGGCTGGACTCTGCCATCTCAGAAGTGTGAAGAAAGAAAAATCCACCAGACAGAATGCCAGTTCATGTTTCAGGCTCTTAGACATCTCAAATGTCTATTCTTTATGAACTGGTCTTGTAAATAGACACATACTTGGCCTTCTGGTTTTAGGACTTTCTTTTGTTACCTCTTTGTACTAATGAACACACATATTATTTCCAAGGAATCACCCTAATATTCCTGGCCTGACATGTTACAGAACTTCAATTTCATTATCTTATCCTACTATAATAGTCATATCATCATTAGCCTTTATATTAAAGGATTTGAAACAACTCATTCAAAATTTAAACCAATGGTTTTCAGCCAAGCAAAGTGCTCTGTTGTTGAAAATGCTTCTATATAATTCTGATGGAGAGCTCAGAACGAATGCCCCAGACTACACCCGTTACCTGCTCCTCTTCAGGTTAACAATGTTTAACTCTTGCATCATCTCTAAGCTGGCTGAAATTACTTTTCTTCCTTAGTTTCTACAACACATTTTTGGAACAGTCTGAAAAAAACTTATCCTTCAAATGAAAATATAAGCTGGGCGCCAGTGGCTCAAGCCTATAATCCTAGCTACTCAGGAGGCAAAGATCAAGAGGATTGCAGTTTGAAGTCAGCCCAGGAAAATAGTTCTTAAGACCCTATCTCGCAAAAACCCTTCATAAAAAAGGGCTGGTGGAGTGGCTCAAGGTGTAGGCCCTGAGTTCAAATCCCAGTACTGCAAAAATAAATAAATAAGTAGTCAGTTTATCCATCTGCAATTTCTTTTTTTTTTTGCAGTATGGAGTTTGAACTCAAGGTAAAGACCCTAAGTCACTCCACCAGCTCTATTTTTGTGAAGGGTTTTTTGAGACAGGTCTCAAGAACTATTTACCCAGGCTGGCTTTGAACCATGATGCTCCTGATCTCTGCCTCCTGAGTAGCTAGGATTACAGGCGTGAGCCACTCGCACCTGGCCTGGATAAATAACTTTTAAGAAAAACAGTGCCTATCAAAACTTGGGTAGAAAGGTTTTGTTGTATACCCTTCCATTTCATAAAGGAAATGTTGAAAGGTTATTTTATTAACTCTTCTCTCTATGAAAAAACCTACCCCAATAAGGTAAGGGAGAACTCTCATGAACACATGAACCTAGTATGCTAGAAGTCAAGTATGCTGCCAGTTCATGCTCACCTCTAAGCAAAACTGCTCACATAACTATTTTTTTACTCTGTGTGAACCTGCTAACACAACTAAGTGGGCTAGGATAGCTTCCTGACCAAAGCACAGCCAATTCCTACACTGCAAAGTGACATCGATGAGATCTGGGGTGAAAAGGTAAGCTGGCCTAGTTAAAGTCTCCTGGCAATTACAGACAGAAACTGAGGGTCACAAGATATACCTCCAAAGGTATAAGTGAGGTATAAGTTGAAGTTATTATAAGGGAAAAGGAACGATACATAAACAAAAGCTGTGAATTAGAGAGGTTGGTGAGGAGAGTGAAGTCAACAACATAAAGAGGACTGAGTCACATGCTAGGTAGAACCTAAGCATGAATATCCACCACCTTCTACTGAGGAACTCCATTCAATTTCTGCCCTTCCTGAGGCCTGCGGTGACTCTGGGTAGCATATCCATCTGGAGAGAGGCTGGACCCAGCTAGACCCAGGTATGCATCCTTAAAATGTCACACTGCTTCAGCTACATTGTTAGTGTTAGTGTCTGTCATTCCTTACTTAAGATTTCTTGCAACTAAATAAGCCTAATTGAAACAACTAAGGAAGCCATTACCACTTGTTAAAAATAATGCACGACTTTAAATGTCTAGTTCCCTGACCAAATCTGGGGATGTTTAATCCATTAAGTTTTAATACTTTCTTAAGTTTAATGTTGGTATTATAGGTTTACATATCGGTTTATACAACTTACATTAGATTCTATACATTCATTTTTGCAAGGACATCATATCTTCAAAGATGCACATTCAATAACTGGGAAATTATCACACTTCTAGTCTATACTTTCAGGTTTGTTCGATCATGATACTTCAGATAAGGATCATCAACGTACCAGTTTCGCCTCTTCCAGAAAGATGTTGTCATTTTATCTAAGAGTTTACTCTGGGTTTTATTGCAGAACACAAATTCTCTCAAGCGTCTTTTTCTTGCAGTTGTCTTTTTCCATAATTTTTTCTTATAACCTGCCTGTGAGGTAATATTACAGACATTTAAAACACTGTATTATGGAAGAAACAACAGATTATCTTCTTAACTCATGGTTTATGTGCCCAATGGGAACAAAGACTTCTATAGGGGCTGGGATGTTTTCAGGAATAATGGTAGAAAGGCATGTGTAGTCTGAAAAAGAATTAATTTAGTATTTTGGAAAAAGATTATTTAAATTAAAATCACAAGCCTGGCATGGTGGTGCACACCTGTAATCCAGCACCCAGGAGGCTGATGAAGGAGGATCAAAAGTTTGAGGTCAGTCTGGGGTATATAACAAGATTCTGTATCAAAAAATAAAAATGGAAAATCAGTCAGGCATGGTGACGCCCACCAGTAGTCCTACCTGTTGGGAGGTTCAGGCAGGAAGGAAGATCACTCGAACCCTTGAATTCAAGACCAGCCTGGAGCTGGAGGCATGGCTCAAGTGGTAGAGTGCTTGCCTAGCAAGCTCAAAGTATTTTATTTTTGATGGCACTGGGGTTTGAACTCATGGCTTCCCACCTGCAAAGCAGGCGCTCTCCCACTTGAGGCACACCTCTAGTCCATTAAATATTTGCCCAGGCGCCTTGAATCTCAACCCTCCCAATCTCAGCCTCCCAAGTATCGAGGATTACAGTTGTGAGACAGCAGCACCCAGCCTAGTGTGAAACCTTGAGTTCAAACCCCAGTACTGCCACCTCCCCTCCCCACCCCACCACACACACATAAACAAAAAACAACCCAGCCTGGGCAACGGGGATAGAGCACTGGCCTGGCATATGCAAGGCTCTGGGTTTGATCCCCAGAACTGAAAAGGAAAAACAAAAACAGAAAGCAAACAAACAAAAAACAAAGCTAAATAAATCTGTGTGGATGGTGAAGAACAAGATAATGATATATAATTATAATAGCTAACATTATCTTATTATCTCCTTAGCAATCTTCAACAACATACTTATTTTCATTTTACAGATTGAAAAAAAAAAAACTGATTAGAGAGGTAGCAAACTGAGATCTAAGAAGAAAAAGAGTTCTGGCAAGGGAGGTGGCTTATGTTCATTTTAGGGGCTGAGTAGTACAAAGGCGAAGAAGCACAGCTCTCAAATATATTGCTTCATTTATTTTCACCCACTAGGGACCTATTTTTATGAAAAGTACTTTTCTAAGGAATAATAAATACAGTAAAACTATTATTAGGAGTGAAGAATGGTTAGCCCATATATTTAACTCAAAACTTCCATATATACCATCCATGAATTATTAATTTTCAAGAATAGATTTTTAAAGAAATAGAAAATTAGATCAAACACAGAAACTAAAAAAGCCAAGTACAGTGGCAGGCACCTTCTATTCAGAAGGCTGAAGTGGGAGGATCACTTTAGAGGCCATCTTGGGCAACAGAGTAAGATCTACTCAGGAGGCAGAGATTAGGAGGATCATGGTTTGCAGCCAGCCCCAGGCAAATAGTTCGAAAGACCCTATCTCAAAAAAACAAACAAAAAAAACCCATCACAAAAAAAGGGCTGATGGAGGAGTGGCTCAAGGTATAAGCCCTAAGTTCAAACCCCAGTACCACAAAACAAACCAGTCAAGTGCCAGTAGCTCACACCTATAATCCTAACTACTCAGGAGTAAGAAATCAGGAGGATCGTGGTTTGAAGCCAGGTGGAGGCAAACAGTTTGGAAGACCCTATCTCAAAAATACCCATTACAAAAAAAGGCTGGCAGAAAGGCTCAAGTGGCAAAGTGCCTCCCTAGCAAGCACGAGGCCCTGAGTTCAAACTCTAGTACTACCAAAAAAAAGGGAAGGGGGTAGTGGTTCATATCTATAATTCTAGCAACTCAGGAGGCAGAGATCAGGAGATACAGCAGTTCAAGGCCAGCCCAAGCAAAAGCAAGACCCCCATCTCAAAAACACCCAACATATAAAAGGAGGAAGTTAAGAAGGTGACTATGGTTGACATACTTCCTCTATAAGAATGAATATAGAATTTTTAAACCTGTTGAAATCACTGTTAGAAGGGGATTAAGATAGAAAAAACAGAGGGGATGAACCAATTCAGGTTATAATACATATATATAAGGAAATGTCATAATGAAACACCTTGTATTGCTATCTTAAACAAACAAAAATGTAGTTTGTTCAAAAATGGAGAACAGAAAGATAAAACACATCCTGTCTGGGGGGTTGGTACCAGTGGAAGAGGGAAGGATATAAGGAAAGGAAGTAGGAGGATGAGTGATATGGAAATACTATGTACCTGTGTGTAACAATGGAAAAATGAGACCTGTTGAAACTATTCCAGGAATAGGGGAGGGAGAATAAAGGAGAATGATGGAGGGGGTGAATTCAACTATGATATTTTGTAAGAACTTTTTAAAATGTTACAATGTACCCCAAGTACAACAATAATATGCTAATAAAAATAATAAAAACTGAAAAAAAAAATACCCAACACAAAAAAGGACTGGTGGAGTGCAAATGGTGGAACACTTGCCTAGTTAGTGTGCAACCCTGAGTTTAAACCCCAGTACCATTAAAAAAAAAAAAAGAGAGAGAGAGACATGGGGGAGATATGTCATGAATAGGCTCACCGAATTCTTTGATACTCAAATCTATTGCTCACATTTTCTCAATTAGGTAACAGAATAAAGACTTACCTTTCTCCTTAGCCAAAGGCCAGAATGAAGTCGAAGAAACCGATAGACTACAGCTTTTACAGTCTTTCTCTTTCCTTTTCGTGAACTGAAGTATGTTACAGTTCTGGCTGGTAGTTTCAGGGCACTGGGAGTGAAGGGGACCACTCTAAAATATATTTTAAAAGACATAACTCAGAAATCAGATAGATTAAATGATAAAATCCATTTCTACACAGTACTTAGGTGTATAAAGCTGTTCCACTGGAATGGAGCTTTTAACATACAGTATTATTTCAAATGATTCATAAAATCAAATATAGGTTAAGAATAGCAACTATCTTCACCTGCAAGCCTTCTAAAATCCACCCCTGCTGGGAGTGTGGCTCAGTGGTAGGGCATGTGCTTAGCATGCGCAAAACCCTGGATTTGACCCCCAGCACCAAAAATAAAATCCACCCCCTCAATCCCTATGAAAGAATTTTATCTTCCTATATCTTAATTTTGATTTCTTTTGTTAGCATGTATTAATTGTGCAAAGTGAAGGTTTCATTGTTAATCACCCTACTTCTTGCCCATCTGCCCACCATACTACAAACACCTTGAGAACTTCAGCTTGTTTGACTTTGTGCCTTTTCTGCTAAGTATAATGTTAAGCACATACGGGTGCTTAACTGAGTATTTGCTGACCGAATGAAAACCACATACCACCCAGGCTTGTAAAGCTGAACATCTTGTTTACTTTCTGCTTTACCTGACAGCTTCTATCCAGGAAAGCACACATACATCAGAAGTGAGCTGTGTGGCCTGGCACTGGTGGCTCGGGCCTGTAATCCTAGCTACTCAGGAGGCAGAGATCAGGAGGATCATAGTTTAAAGCCAGCTACAGGCAAATAGGTTGCAAGATTCTTTCTTGAAAAACCCATCACAAAAAAGGGCTGGTGGAGTGGCTCAAGCATTAAGTGTGAGGCAAGTCCTAGCAAGTGTGAGGCCCTGAGTCCTGAGTTCAAAACAGTGCCACCAAAAAAAAAAAAAGTGAGCTCTGAGGCCTAAGGCTATAGCTCCATAGTAGAGTGCTTGGCTAGCATGTACAAGACTGTGTTCCATCCCTGGCAATGAAAAGGAAAAAAATTAAAGTGTGCTCTGTCTGTTAGTTCTTGCTTCAGGTGTCTGGGTGTCTGGATATCAATCATATTGTCCTGTTCAGTCAGGCAAAGTCTGCATAATCAACCGCAGGTAGGCAAAGGATAACAACTACTTCTAATATTTGTCTTTTAAGCACAAATGTTTCGTGTATGTATGTGTCTATGCTTGGGATTGAACTCAGGGCAAACATGCTAGGCAAGTGCTCTGCCACTAGAGCTATACAGCCCCTGCCCAGGCATGAAGATTTTAGAAATTCTGTCTAAGCATCATGTTTACCTATTAAGGATCATTGTAGAATGCCCACATGTCAGGTTTCTGACAGATGAGACAAGTCCAGGAACACAGGAAACAACTGGTGTCTGAATATGACTAAAATGCCTGGTTGACAGTGCAGAATTAAAACAGGCATTCTTGGCACAGTTTCGATAGGCTGAAAATGCCAAAACATTTAAAGACCGTAAGATTCCTGTAAAAAGAAAAAACAGTATACATATTTAATATGATACTCCAAAATATGCAATTAATGTACCAAAGCAACCAATGTCATACATAATTAAGGATCCTGAGAATTGGACTGACCCATGGAGCTTTTAACCAATTTTACTGAGGTATAACTTACCCTAAAATTACCTATTTTATGTGTTCCAATGATTTTTACAGAATTCTGAAAACCAGTCTGGTTTGTCCAGTACAAGGGAGGGAATATGTGAAAGATTAAATCCCACTGCCCAGATCTTATACTCCAAGGAGACAGAACTCCCACACTCAGTGTAAAGACATTTCAGACATGAAAGCTCAAAGAACAACAGAGTGACAGCAGAAGGATTTATGAAGAAAATAGCACTTTAGTTCTCTTGAAAATGAACAAACCCTTGAGAAGAAACACATTTTGGGTAGGAAAACAACATCAGCAAAGGTCTGGAGGCTGAAACCAAAACAGGTATGGAAGCCAGGACCAGAACTGCCACAGACCTGAGCATAGCAGAGATGCCTGGGGACAAGTAGTGGGGAATGAGGCAGGTTTCAGAAAGCAGATATATATGGACTAAACTGCAGTCCTCTTTATTTGCTGCTATGCAAATTAAAATTCTTGGGCTAGAGGTGTGGTTTAAGTGGTAGAGCTCAGGGCAAGTGTGAGGCCCTGAGTTCAAACTTTAGTACTATCCAAAAAAATAATAATCAATTTAGAATTCTTCAGAGCGCTGACTTCACTCATACTTTATGACCAAGTCTAGTATGGGACTCAAGAATACATATGTTAAAAAGGTCCCACAAGATGGTGTAAATGATCTCAGAGTAGAATGTGGTGATAGTGGCACAACTTCCTAAACTTATTAAAAACTGTCAAATTTTACACGCAAAATGACTGACTTTGCATCAAGCAAATTCTACCTTGGCCAAGTTTTTTTTTTTTTTTTTAATGTTCAGCCAGGACTTAGAACTACTGCCCTACTGTCCACTTCACCAACTTCACCAAGGTAATGGGGCATTGTGGTGCAAAAGTGAAGTGATGTAGGTTTGAATCAGACTGGGTTCATATTTTAGCTCTATAGCTTTATAGCAGTATGACTATGGGCAAGTCACTTAAACTCCCTTTCCTCACATTTAAATTAGGTTGGACTGGTGGAGGTGCTCAAGTGGTAGAGTACCTGGCTTGCAAGCATGAGGCCGAATTCAAACCTAAGCACTTTCAACCGCTCCCCCAACCCCACCCCAACAACCAACCAACATGAAAAAGGAACTTCTGGGCTCAAGCAATCCTCCTGCCTCAGCCTTCTGAATGCAGGAGCATGCCTTTCATGCCTGGCTCTGTTTTCTGTTTTTTATTTTTCTTCTTTTCTTTCTTTTTTTTTTAATATATAGAGAATGTTTGGAATGTCCTAGCCATGGTATAGCCTAACTTTAGGAAGGCATCTGCAAAAAAGTTTCTTTATATTCTAAAGAAGTGCAGAAATGTGAACGGGATAAGAGGTGAGTTCCACACTCCCTAAATTAGTTGATTGCTGTTCACCTGATCAAAATCTCTTCCTGCCTTCCTAATGGATGCTGTTTCGTTTCCAACTTTTATGAAGGCTCCTGAAGCTGCTTAAGGAATCGTTATCAATCTGCCCAAAAAACAAGCAGGGAACTATGGCTAGTTAGCATATTTGTGAAATGACAGAATATGAGACTCCAAATGATTTTAGTAACAGAGAAAAACAGATCAAAACCAACAAAGTGAAATTGGAGATAAACACATTGATGTTAGTGTAAAATGTTACTTGAAAAAAGGAAGAATGAGCTTGGTTTGAAAGCAGCACATGGGAAAATGAACTGGAGGGTTTTACCTACCAATGTGCTGTAAGGTGACAAACTTAGCAGTCTAAATTAGAATGAAAGAAGTGCAGTTCTGAAATAAAGAGAAGTAATTGACTGTTCTTTCAGTCCTCTGCCCTGTTTAGGGAGAACATAGATGTTTTCACAAAAGAAATGATACAAAAGCAGAGTTTTGAAGAAATAAGAGGAACTGGGAGGTGCAAAGGAGAAGAATAAAACGGCACATTCAAGAAATTACAAAAGACCCTACATGTCATGAATCACTGGAGTGGTAGCCAGGTACCAGTGACTGACACCTGTAATCCTAGCTACTCAGGAGACAGATCAGAAGGATTCAGTTTGAAGCCAGCTCAGGGAAAAGTTTGTGAGACTTTATCTTAAAAAAAAAAAAAAGCCCATCATAAAAAAGAGCTGGTGGAGTGGCTCAAGGTGTAGGCCCTGAGTTCAAACTCCAGTACCACCAAAAAAATCATTGGTGTGACAGATGTGAGCTGCACTGGGTAGGGATGCCGTGAGCATGACAGAATCTAAGCCAGGGGTCTTTATTTTTTTTGGGTCCTACATTCCCTGTAAGAATTTTGAAAAAGCATGTAACTTCCACAAATTCTTATTATTTAAAATATTAAATGGGGGGATTGTAGCTCAGTGGTAGAATGGGGATACAGCACATACAAGGCTCTGGGTCCTATCCCAGTTCCTAAAAGCAACAAAGGTTAAAATATTAAATAGTTTAACTTGTTAAAAAGAACTCCATTATATTTAAAATATTGGCATTTAAAAGTAAGTTGCTGGGTTGGCGAAGTGGCTCAAGTGGTAGAGCGCCTGCCCAGCAAGTACAAGGCCTTGAGTTCACCAAAAATAAAAACAAAAATCATTTCAAAAACTTAATAAAAACAAGCTGTCCCATATTCTTTTAATGGTTTTAAGTAGAATCTAAGTATTATAGTGAATTGACACAATCTGTAACATTTATTTAAAAAATACAAGGACTATAAATCAAGCATATGAAAATAAAAACTTCTTTTCATCAAAACGTACTCCAGGGCTGGGATGTAGCTCAATAGTAGAGCACTTGCCTAACATGCATGAGGCTCTGGGTTCATCCCCAGCATCAAAAAAAGTAAAAGGAGCATGTGAGAACTGCTTGGATATGCATAAACAAAAAAGATACACATATCTAGAACACAGAAGTAATCACAACTCAAAAGAAGCTAGAGCCAGTGGCTCATGTCGGTAATCCTAGCTACTGAGGTGGTAGAGATCAGGAGGATTGAAGTTTAAAGCCAGCAGCAGGCAAATAGTTTGTGAGACCCTATCTGGAACAAAATGTTTCACAAAAGAAAAGGGCTAGTGAAGTGTGGCTCAAAGTGTAGGCCCTGAGTTCAAGCCCCAATACTGTAAAACAAACAAAAAAAACTCAATAGAAAATATTTAATATTTAATTCAAAAGGCCAGTACATGTGTACACTAATCAGAGACACATCTATTTAAACCTCGATGAGATACCAGACTGACAAAAATCTCTGGGTCAGGCAACAGCAAGTGTTGGTGTCACAGAATATGGAGCCTGCCCTCTGGGTAACTGGAAACAAGCACACACCACTGGAAAACAGTTTGGCAATATCAGGCAATGCTGAATATGTATCTATGTGCTCTCTGACCCAGCAACTGCACAGTTAGTGTTACACACACGCAAAACATTCTTGCCTTGGTACCAGGACATGAGATCAATCAGCTTTGTATGTAATGGTCCCCAAACTGGAAACACACGTGTCCATCTGATAGTAGAATGGAGAATTGTGGAACAGTCACATAAGAAAATACCATACTATAGTAAGGAGAAAGCATTACAGCTACTTGCAAAATGAATAAATCTCAAAGTAAAAGCAGCAGACACTAGAGCAGACACTATATGATCCCATTTATGTAAAGTTCAAAACTAGACAAAACTAACGTTAGAGAGATGCATATATATGCAATTCAAAAAAAAATAGGCAAGGTAACAAGTATGAAGTATAAAATTTTTATATGGTTGCCTTTTTTTGGGGTGGGACAGGGGTTTGAACTCAGGGCTTCACGCAGGCGGTATACCACTTGAGCCACACCTCCAGTCCATTCTGCTCAGGTGATTTTGGAGACGGGGTCTTTAGAACTATTTGCCCCAGCGGGCCTCGAACCTCAATCCTCCCAAGATCAGCCAGGATTACAGTTGTGAGCCACCAGTGCCCGATTTATGGCACACAATTTTATCCTTACTTAGTACGTTCTGTGCGAAGCTGATCGTGCTAGTTGAAAGATTTTTAACGTTCTGCAGAAGTCCTGCCTTCACCTCACCTCCCAGTCAAGACACCATCAGCCCCACCCTGTACTGAGCCGGTCCCTGCAGGCTACACACGACCGGCGAGCTTCGGGCGCCCCAGGCGATGCACGATGCGGATGGGCTCATTTACCCACCGGCCGGGTGGTGGTGCCCGGCATTCAGTGTACCCCTCAAATTCAGAGATTCCAACAGCTCAAGGTCATAGGGTCCTGGCCTCCCCCTTACAAGAGTGGGCTTTCCGAAGTCTCCCTCGCCCGCTCATGCCCAGCCTCTCCGGAGGAGCCGGTAAAGCACCGGCAAGCGCGGGGCAGCCAGGTCAGCGCGGGTGTGAGTCGGCGGGCGGGGGCGAGCTGCCGCCTCGCCGCCCCGCAGAAAGTGCTGAGCAGCCCTCCGCCTCAGATGTCGGCCTTGCTTTCCTGTTGCCCTCCAGAGTAACGCCCGTTCCACCCGCGCCCGCTCTCCCCTTGGTGAGGGCACGGACGGAGCGCGTGGCTGCACTGACCTGAAGCGCCTCTCACGGCGCCCGCCACCGCGGAGGCAGCCATCTTGCTCGCTCGCCTACGGCGGCCGCGCGGGCCCAACGGAAGCCGCGCACGTGGGGAGGAGGCAAGGAAAGGCGTGGTCAGCTCCACGGCCCACGGGCCCGGCGTGCGTGCTCGGCTCTGCGCTCCGCTGCGTGCGCAGCTGCCCTAGGCCGGTGCTGAACACACGGCAGGCTCGGAGCCGAGGGCAGTCGGCGCGGCCCAGGTGTTAGAGCGCCTGCCTCCGGGGGGCCCGAGTTCAAGCCCCAGTACCACCCAACGAAAGCCCACGCCCACTACCGTGACCCCGGCCCCAAAGGAGACGCTTCCCTCTTTCGAGATGAGGGCTCCTCAGCTGCCCAGACTGTCCCCAAACTCTTGGCTCCAGCGATCCTCCTGTCTCAGCCAGGCAGACAGCTGGGACCACAGACTCCAGTCGCGGTGCCCCGGCTGCTCAAAAACTTCTGAGCATGTGACTGAAAGATCTACTCAAGGACGCAAGGTTCTTGAAACAATTTCTTGCTGTTTTTATCGTTTATTTTGGAAAATTACGCTTCTTATCCTTCACAAAAAAACCTGGAAAACATATGGCTAAATAAATGGAAAAAATAGCAATATTAAAAGCTGGGAGCTCGTGCCTGTAATCCCAGCTACTTGGGAGGCTGAGATCGGGAGGTTTGTGGGTTAAGGCCACTCTTGGCAAATAGCCAGAACTCCCCATCCCCAAAATGCAAGGGAGATGTGGCTCAAGTGGTAGAGCACCTCTTTTGGAAGTAAGGATGACACCCTGAGTTCAAACTCCAGTTCCACAAAAAAAAAGGCATTTTGAAAAAAACTGAATGCCAATTATAATAAAATGAATGTAAATACTCTGAGGATATTGCACACACAGGTTTTTTTTGTTTTGTTTTCATCCTTGTTTTGGGTTTTTTATGTTTTGATTTTGCTGCTGGGGATTGAACCTAGGGCCTCCTGTGTGCTAAGCATGCCCTTCACCACTGAGCTACACCCTAGCAACATACGTATTTTTTAAAATTAAGCATAGTGTGATGGTGCCCGTTTGTAACCTCAGCTACTAGGAGAATATGGAGTTGGAGGCTAGCCTGGGTAAAGTTAGAGACCCTATCTCAAAAACAAAATACAACAAAATACAAAAAATACAAACAAAAAAGAGCTGGGGGCATACTTATGTGGTAAGGCAGATGTCTAGCAACTATGAGGCCCTGGGTTCAAACCCCCAGTACTGAAAAAAAAAAAAGTTCACTAGCACTCATTTTGTAAAACAGCTCTGCCTGAAAAGTTCTACACTATTCATTCCTGTTAGCAACCATACGTTCCTTTTTTTTTTCTTTTGGTGGTGGTACTTTCGTTTGCGTTCTATGCTTGCTAGGAAGTCACTCTACCACTTAAGCCACACCTCCGACCCTAGGGAAATAGCAAACTAGAGAGAGAGAGAGAGAGAGAGAGAGAGAGAGAGGGAGAGAAAGAGAGAGAACCTCAAAGAACTTTAACCTATATAGATTATATCTATTGACAAGTATTGTACTGGAAACTAAGATTGAGAAAAATTAAAAATAGTGTCGTTTTATACTGTTACTGTAATAAGTCACCAGAAGTTTAATGGCTTAAATGAAATAAATTTATTATCTTACAGTTCTGTAGGTCACAAATCCAAAATTGATTTTACAGGGCTAAAATCAAGTGTCAGTAGGTCTGTGCTCCTGAAAGCTCTAGGTGAGAATCCTTTTCCTTGCCTTTTCCAATTTCCTTTAGCTATGAATTAAAAAAAAAAAAAAGTTACGAAAATTCTCCTGAAGTAACTTGGAAACTGCAATCACATAATTTCCCAGTTGAAAAAGGTGTGGTGACCCCCATGCCAATTCAAAAAGCCCTGATGATTGTGTCAGTATGCTTTTCAGCACACGGTCGGTAGTTTTGGACTCAAAGCAGTGATCAAGATGGCAACTATACAGTTCTAAGCTCATCACCCGCTTACACACCTGTGTCTCAGAGAAGCTACTATTTATAAAAATGTTATTTAACATGTAATCAACTTCTAGTTATTTAATTTCTATATTGTGATAACGCTAGTAATATGCTGGACTTCATATCGGGTTATTGTTTAAGGGACAATGGGGTTTTTTTCCCCTTTTTTTGGGCTTCGCGCTTGCAAAGCAGGCGCCCCACCACTGGAGCCACACCTCCAGTCCCGAAGGCATGGGTAATATTTAACAAGTTGATTAGACTCGGTGGGATACTTCGAAGTGTGTTTCTGCACTGACTTCTTTATCTTCCAATCTGTCCCACCGACTGCGACTCAAATTATGCTTGTAAAGTAAAAACGAGGGAGAGATGGGCGTGGTTTAATCTGGAAGGAATACAAGCCGTGGGCCCCGTGGAATCCGGCTTCCTGTCCCTGCTCCACTATAGACACGTTCCGCCAACAGTCCCTCCAGTGCTCCTTCTGTCTCCAGCAGTCAGCCTGACCCTGAAAAAGGTCAGACGAAACACTCGCAATCTGAGACGACTCTATTGTTTACGTAACGTAGGACAAATCGATTCTTTACTACGAAATACCCTGCTTGGGTATTTCTTTGTTGGTTTACTTCTCCTAAGAGTACACTCATCGGTTTATCACGGACGATCAAACCGTGTGAAGCATTTCCTTCAGTCCAGTTCACCTAGTAACCCGGGCTTCAGGTCACGGACCAGAAGCCTCAGCGCGACCCGGAAACAGAATCCGCCCTTCCACCCTCTCACCAATCGCCGCGGGCTTGCGTTTTAGCAGCCGGGGCGGTGCCTACCTTCGCAGAGCCGCCGGGTCTCTGAGAGGGAAGGAGGCTGCGCGTGCGCAGTGGCGTTGGCTGCGCTTCCTGTGCGCCCGGCACAGAGGCAGTACGGTCGCGAGCACGCACGCAAGCACGCACGCGCGCCCTCCTTGACTTCTGCCGCCCCAGCAGCTCCAGTGTATACCACCAACGCCGTCCATTCGGCCAAGATGCTGCGAGCTTGTCAGTTGTCTGGCGTGACCTCCACTGCTCAGGTGAGCGTGGGGGCTCCCGGAGGGAGCCTGTGAGAAAGCCCACGGAAAATGGGGAGAGTTTGATGCTGCCTAGTTCCCAGGACAGTGGCGTATCGTAAGCCTCCCGGGCGGGCCAGTGAGGCAGTTAACTAGGGAGTTCGCCCGATGACTAGAGGATTATTGCCAAAGCGGGCTGGGGCGTGGAGAGGTGGCAGGGAGGTGGGCGCGGGGCCGAGGCGCGGCTTCGGGGATGTGTCATCCAATCAGCACCGCTCTGCCCCAGTCGAGGACCAATCCTGACTGCCGGCGTCCTGGCCGTCGGTTGGGCGCGTAATAGGTTTCCAATCCGGAAGGTCGAAGCGGGAGAACTACAGTTCCCAGCAGGACACGCGAGGCTGTGACTTGGTACATCTTTAATAAGCAGGTGCCTGGACTGCTTTAGAGAGTCCGAGATTTAGGGGTCAAGGTTGTAATTAACCGGTATTGGCTGCCTTTCTTTTAGTAGCTGAGAACACCTCTGAGCTGTTCTTACTCTAATAAGTGAAAGATTTTTCATTTGTGAAACTTAAATTCCTAGCACTTGAGGAAGAACAGGAGTCATGACCTTGTACTCATTTCTGTAATTAGCCTGGGGATCTGTGTCTCCAGGCGCTGGGACAACTGTGGCTAACATATAAGGAGCCTAGACACTAAAACACTCAGCTTTATTTTTGTTATTTTAGTTTTGCATAACTTCAAAGTAACTTTATATAATTCAAAATAAAACAAACTTTCCGTTGCTCACGATTTCCAGAAAATTGATATTTGGGCGAAATGTTGTATTGCAAAACCTACTGTGGCTCGAGCAGTAATTGAATGAAATCCCTAGCCATAGTGAGTTAGACATCATAAAAGTCAAGCTTTTTTTTTTTTTAACCTCCAAGTTTGCTTCCCTCCCTATTTATTACTGGAGTAAAGGAAGCAGCTTCTTCCATTGGCAGGTGGGACCTGCATTAGTTTCCTATTGCTATGTAATAAATGCCACAACACCCATTGGTTTCTGTAGAATGGAAGTCTGGGCATGAATGATCTGTGTTCTTTGCTCAGAGTCACACAAGGTGACCAAAAGTATCGGCCATGGTGTGGTTCTCATTTGGAGATCAGGGTCTTTTTTCAAACTCATGCAGTTTGCAAAATTCAGTTCCTTGCAGCTGTAGGACTTAAGTCCTTATTTCTTGCTACCTTTTGTCAGCCATTTCTCTCAGCTTCTAGAGACTGCCAGCAGTTTCTTGCTACAAGGCCTCCAGAGGCCATTTTGCTTTTAAGCAGACTTAAGTGTTTCCTTTCACCAGTCTTTCTGACTTCAAAATCACTTATTTTCCTGTTTGTGATCTCTAGACCCAGAATTAAGTTAGGCCAGACCTACCTGGATAACTTCTCTTTTAATTAATTTAGAGTCAATTTTTTTGATCCCAACTATAGATTAAAACTTCATAATGAAATATAAATAATTTTCTTCATCAAACTTCATTCTTTTTTTTTGGTGGTGGTGATAGCTCAGGGCGTCCTGCTTGCTAGGGACACTTGAATATATGCTTACAGTGCACCTTCCTTATATTCATCCCTTCCCTTCCATCATTCTCCCTCATCCCTCTTCCTCCTGTTTTTTTGTTTTGTTTTGTTTTTTGTTTTTGCAGTACTGGGGCTTGAACTCAGGGCCTACACCTTGAGCCACTCCACCAGCCCTTTTTTGTGATGGGTTTTTTTTTGAGAAAAGGTCTTGAGAACTGTTTGCCCAGACTGGCTTGTAATGAACGATCTTCCTGATCTCTGCCTTGTGAGTAGCTAAGATTACAGGCATGAACCACTGGTGCCTGGCTTCTTCCTCCTAACAATTTCAACAGGTTTTATTGTTTTGTTTTCATACAAGTATATAAAGTACATCAGCCACATTCACCCTCCTTCATGCTCCCCTGAGACAGGATTTTGCTGTGTTGCCCAGGTGATTCTCCTGCCTCAGTCTTGAGTGCTGGGATTATAGGCTTGTACCACTGTGTCTGGCTATAGAGTAAATTCTTTACATAGTAGTTAGTGACTGCTACCTACGCTTTTTGAAAAGCAGTGACATTCCATCATATCCAGAACAAAATCTAGACTCCTTACCATACCCATTAGGCCCTTCATCATCTAGTTCTTTTCCTTTTGGTTCTGGTTTCTCCAGCATATGCCTAACTGCCTTTTCATTTGGTGTTTCTTTTGCCCTGAACTCTCCTCACACATTTTTGCTCCACTCACTCTCATGCAGGTATTTTCTCAAATAACCTTTCTTTCCTAGAGGCCTTCCTGATCTCAAATAGACTTATAAACACTTTCCCTTTCCTTGTATTACTCTATCTTTACTCTTACCCTACTTTGTTTTACTTTGTCTCTGTTAGCACTACTGGACCTTATAGTGTGTATTCGTGTGTGTTTCTTCCATTTAAAATGTAAGCTCCACAGAGACTCTGTATATATGTTGTTCACGGCTGTATTTCCAGTACTGACAGTAGTTTCTGGCTCCTAGGAGATGCTATTAAGTGTCTATGCCACGTTTGAACGAAAGAATGTGTTCTGTGAATTTTTCTTACTCTGAAAGTGGATATGCTCTCCCTTTAAACACCCCCTCCTCATAGCCTTTGTAACTTCTGAGGGTGTATTAGCTAAGTTCTCCAGAGAAACAGAACCAATAGGCTATGTGTGTACATGTACTTACAACCATTCATTATAAGAATTTGGTTCACACAGTTATGGAGATTGGCAAGTCCAAAATCTGCAGTGTGGGCTGGCAGACTCAAGACTTAGGAGAGTGAATGGCACAGTTCTAGTCCAAAGGCAGTGTGCTAGAGACTTCCTTTTTGCCTTTTTTCAACTCAGACCTTCAACTTGATTTGATGAAGCCCACCATGCTCTGGAAGGCAATCTGCTTTACTCATAGTTCACCAATTTAAATGTTAATCTTATCTAAAACACCCGCCAACATGACACAAAACTAATGACCCTATTCTTTAAGCATGGGCTCATTATCCTTGAATTCTCTAAGGGAGTTATTCATTAAAAATGAATTGGTTGGTTTTTTTTTTTTTTTCCTAGAAAGTAGTTTAGTAGATCTGTTCAGCCTGATGTTTGTTCCTATCCATACTAGAATCCTTTTTGTTATTCCTCATTTTCATGTCTCTAGACCAGTGGCCATTTTGAAATACATTTTATATTTAGTACACCTGATTGAAAACATCTAAAATGTATTCACACATGTGTACAGGAAAAATCAAAGAAGCATCAGATTCATTCTTTTGCCATGCTAATTAGTATCTGCCATTTCCTTTAATGAAGAGTACTTTTTCTCTTAAATGTAGAATATGTTTATAGTAAGGTAATACATAATTCTTATGTATATTTATCTATATATATCTATTGTTTGTGGTACTGGGAGTTGAACTTAGGACTCTACTATTTGAGCCACACACTCAACCCTTTTTGCTTTAGATTATTTTTCATTTAGGGTACTGTTTTCTGCCCAGCTGGCCTAGGACCACAGTCCTCCTACCTATGCTTCCTGCCTAGCTGGGATTAGAAGTGTGAGCCACCACTCTAGTTATGTTTGTTGAGATGTGGTCTCACTAACTTTTTTGCTCAGATGGCCTGGAACCTTAACTCTCCAAATTTCCGCCTCCAGAATAACTGAAATTATAGGTGTGAGCTACTACAGTTGGTCTAAGATATTTTAATATTCTGCATTTCAAGTGTAGAGGTGATCATTAACTTCTGGTTGCCTTTGTAGGAATCTTTGCTTGTATAGGAATTCTTATGACAAAATCCACCAAAACATTGACATTTACAGCAACCAGCAAAGGCTACAGAGGAAACATGGAACCTCTAGATAGCGTTCACATGAGGAAACTTATATACAGTCTCCATTTTGGGGTCGTAATGCTGGATTGTGTTTTCTTACATACGTTCACTTTAGTTTGAAAGATGTAAGGAATAGATGCTCTGTGTAAGAGAATTGCATGGGAATTGTACATTTTTTTCTGGGTTTTAAGTATTAGTAAGGATTTATTTTATAAAATAGGGAAAAGTGGGTAGGGGGACATATTTCCTGCTCCCCACACAGGAAATGGGAGTAAAGACTCCTTTTGCTTTTTTTGTGTTTGTTAAAATTATTTTTCCACAGGTCACGAGCAGCAGTGCTGACCTGATAACATTCAGTGCAAGGTCATGGCAAATTGCTCTGAAACATTCTTGTCCTTTCTACATCACAGGTCATTACTAATGACAAGGAATTCCAGAACCAGGCCAATATTTTGTATGCATTAGAGTAGAATACAGGATATGTAGGTTATTTAAATTCAGAAATAATTTAATTTGGTGCTGAAGAGAGTGAGCTCTGGAGGCAAACCTTGTATTTGGCAATGATTTATTGGATGACACCCAAAGCATAAGCAAGAAAAAGTAACTTTGACTTCATCAGAATTTAAAACTTTTGCACATCACAGGTCACTTGAGAGTGAAAAGGAGCCAGGCACTAGTGGCTTACACCTGTAATCCTAGCTACTCAGGAGGCAGAGACCAAGAGGATCGTGGAGGCCCTATATCAAAAAGACCCAGTACAAAACAGGGCAGGAAGAGTGGCTCAAGTGGTAGACCACCTGCCTCAACAAGCATGAGACCCTGAGTTCAAGCCCTAGTGCCGTGCAAAAAAAAAAAAAAATATTTCCAGATTATATATCTAAGAAGAGTCTAATATCCAGATATGTGAAGAACTCAGCAACAAAAATTAACCTAGAAAAGTAGGTAAAGGAGTCTGGCGCTGGTGGCTCACACCTGTAATCCTAGCTACTTTGGAGGCTGAGGTCAGTTGGATCACGGTTCAAGGCTATACTGGGTAGATAGTTCAAGAGACCCGCATCTCCAGAATAGCCAGAGCAAAATGGACTGGAGGTGTGGCTCAAATGGTAGAGCGCCTGCTTTGTAAGTGTGAAGCCTTTGCAGATAGAATTACCATA